CTCGTTGTCCACCGAAAATGACGGATATGCAGCAAACATATCATGCTGCCATTATATAGTAAAAAAAAAGCCGCGCGTCGTTCGCACCGTAACTTGTGTTGTGTAGGCGGGGAGTTTGAATGGTGCACAAGGTGCAGGGCGATTTAATTTAACCTGAAAGCAACGGCAAATCATTTTAATCGATTTACAGTTTTGGGTCGAATAGTATTTATGTAGTACAACAATTAGTGTATTTTTCCGTTATCATAATTCGGGATCAATAATAAAAAAAAAAAACTGACGTGTTTGCAAATAGTCGTGGTGGCCTATACAGGCTGTATAACGTTGAAATTGATATTGATATTTCTAGAAATGGGCGGTTGGTTATTGTCTACTGGCACTTGGATATTATTATTAATATTAACCGGTCCTAAATTGATCATATTTTCTTCCCTGTACAGTTTTGTATCAACCGAAATTGTGTTAAAATCGTGATATTAAAATTTGCAATTCTCTAAGATAAGCGTAACTCGTGTCGCTATCGAAGGTAGTACGACAATATGAAAAAGTTCTCTATCTTAGTTTAGCCACAAAAATATAATAACACTTATGCTTTTATAATACCAAACAACATTTTTAACGTTTAACCGTTCTTATCTAAATANAAAATCGTGATATTAAAATTTGCAATTCTCTAAGATAAGCGTAACTCGTATCGCTATCGAAGGTAGTACGACAATACAATTCTCTAAGATAAGCGTAACTCGTATCGCTATCGAAGGTAGTACGACAATATGAAAAAGTTCTCTGGTAGTACGACAATATGAAAAAGTTCTCTTCAAAAGCTCTATCTTAGTTTAGCCACAAAAATATAATAACACTTATGCTTTTATAATACCAAACAACATTTTTAACGTTTAACCGTTCTTATCTAAATAGTATCGCCGGATATTGTAATGCTCTCTGCGAGCCTTTTGAATCGAAAAGATTAAGGAAAAATTCATTATTTTTTGTATTATTATTATTTATACACTGTGGCCGCTTTTACATATATTTGCCCCCACTCTGTGTGTATCAGCGTATTGGAATTTGCAGACATTCCAATAGGATACGTCAAAACAAATGAAACAGTGAAATATATTGTGTGTTATTATTTTCTAATTTTAATGAAGACCGATCAATTTTCGTAAATTTAAAATAAAATTGTAATCAGTCTTTTTCCTAAATTTTTTACGCAGGGATGCGATCGTCCTTGTCGTCCAAGCCATGAGCCATGAGCCACTAGTGTCTTGTGTAATTATTGTTGTTTTTTTTATTACTATTAATGATAATAGTTTATTAGAGCATACGAGATTACGATTGAAAGCATTGCCTGTAAACAACTTAATTTATGTAAATTTTCAATGTAATGAAAATACAAAATAATAATAATGATAATAATAATAATAATAATAATAACAATGGTATGGTGGCGCTGTTAGGCCCACTAGTGTCACTTTTAATGAAAGCACCCTAATTTAAAAAAAAATTTTAATACCCGAATGCAAAGAGGATATTGTGTTAAGGGTCATGTATATTTTGATGTATCTTTGTGTGCATTTCTCTTTTCCGCAATGACTCTTAAACGTCTGAACCGATTTATGAATGTGTTTAGTGTCGTATGAATCGATACGTTTATTTTCCGTCTGTATCACTCACTATGTAGTTCGCCCGAGCACTCTTATAGGTCAGTAAATATTGAGACCCCTCCGGTATTTGACATTCTCAACCACTCCGATAGTTGCGCCATTGGATGATAATTGTTTTATTCATAAAACTGTGATGTACCTTAAAAGGCACGCACTTATTGGAATTTTCAGTATTATTTTATAGGCAGTTTTTTTCTTCGAATATAAAAATAATTTTGTTAATTTTTATATTGCACTTGATGCGGTTCGTATAAGCAAAATAAATAATAATGTAATAAATCAAAATAGCGGATTATTGAAATGAAAGATGTCTGAGTATATGGTAATATTAATTTCATGATAATGGACCGTAAGTGCTTTAACCTCGGTTATCTAGGTAACAGGAGTCAATTATTATAATTACTGGCCTACAGTGTGCTATTAATTATTAAGTTTACGTATTTGTCGCTATCATCGTCAATTCGTCACAAGCGTTCTGTTTTTACATTGAAAGTTTTTAACTTACATTTTTTCTTAAATTCTTTAGACTAGATTATAACAAAATAATTCGTTTGCACTCGTAAAAACAATCATGCTCGTGTGTCAATTAATCAAACCAAGAAAATATTGTCGATGATTGTACTGAATCTTCTATAGAAATCGATCAGTAAAATTAACATTAAATCGAATTCTATCAAATCATAATTTATTCGATGGTAATCCCTACAAAATGATTGAAAACGTTGGCAATTAATTGTCGGTGCAACGTTCTATACGTGTTCGTGGTCGTGCCCGTACAACTAAGAACTGTCCCAGTCAAACGAATTTAATAGTTTTTAATTTCTCATAATTGAATTCAGAAATTTCGTAATTTCGTTCAGTCAGCTTTAGAACTTTGTCGCAACTAAATAAAAATATGCTTATCTTTTATTTTTATCTAATTATAAATTATATTTTTTTATCTTTTATCTTCGTCTAGATAAATTTGCGTTAATTGTCTTTTATCTTTATCTCGATGATTGTTTAGTTATTTAATCCGAAAACTGTCTGCAGTAAAAACAACTTGTTGAATATCAGAAACGTAGCTCCAACCGAAAACTTCATAGGAACTTTTTCGTAATATTTTCGATCCGGTTGTTGCATTGGGGAGGATCATTAATTTATAGTCCTTGCAGTTTTCAAACTACAGTTTTCTGACCGCAGTTTTGTACAATTTGTTGAAATCGTCTTACCGCGGTTTTGCCAGGTAACCGACAATATCGACTTTTGTTTTTCACGAATGGCGGCTGATTTAAAAAGTAACGTGTAATATCGATTTCGCGAATAAAATTACAGAATCTATTACAATGAAAACGGACACTCGTACTACAGTGTATTGTATTCAATAAGATGGCGAGTGAATACTGACGAAATAACACTGTATATTTTGTTAGGACTGGCCGCGCGCGTAAATAATTTTCCGCGAAAATTTTTTGGCCGGAAAGTTCGAAATTTCCAGATCCCGACAAAATGTATCCAGTCGTCGATGTAATACATAGTTCGTTAATTGTGGTGTAACGGTATAGCGGCTCGGAAACATAAGACACGACGACGACGGCGATCGTAAATACTAATTATGGTAATTGACGTTAAAACGTGCGGTTCGCGAGGCGAGTATACCGCGGTTATGGCGGTGTACGGTTACCGCGTTGAAAAACTGCGACGTCTACACCGTATAGAGACCGCGCCAAAACGGCTGCTTTTATCGCGTCGCCGATGTAATATTTTAACACAATACTTACGTTAGCCGTGGTTTTCGTTTTGTTTTGTTTTATTTGTCAAATTTTTCTCGAAAATATAGACTATTGCGCTGTATTATATACATAATAATAATAATAATAATAATAATAACAATAATAATGCACTATACTCGCGCGATTACTTTTAAAAGCCGCGACACTGGATATTTCGGCCGGACGACTTTGCATTTCGTTTACGAGACGTGATAGGGGTTACTAAAATACACCCGAAAAGGTTAACAAATTTAAATTTATCCTAAAGTATGTAGGTTATTATCAGGAACCTCAGTCGTCTCCCCGAAAACGGAATTCAAATCGGCTGAAATTCAACGTGTCACCTTTAAAAAGTAATATCGCACTTTACGTGCGCGCAATGTTTTTACCCGCGGTACTTTTAGACGCATTTAGCCGGTTCCCTCTTTGAACCAAAGAGGGTTCAAGCTCATTTGATTTCACCGAAAATCGAGATCGTCGCACTGGTAACGGGTCCGTTATAACACAGTAATGCGGAATAATATTTCCCCCGGTAGTTTGGACGCTTTTAACGGCTCCCGCCGGACCGAAAAAAGTGCTCTAACTCGGCACGCAGAGTTGTTTTATCGGAGTGATAACGCGTTTTGGTCGGATTTCAATACGGATTTACGATTATGCGCCGTTTGCGGGAGACGGGCGTTTCTATGAGCTTTGTGTACGCCACTGTACGCGGACTCTCCGGATGAAGCCTTTGGGACGCGACGCGATGCACGCAAGAGACGCGCGCACGGCAATACTCACCGAACGCCCAAACACGAACGCCTACCCGGTCGGCAGCAGACTTTTAAAGTGTACGGCACGCGGACCCGCGTCTTCGTCACTGGTGTTTCAAACAAAATGAAAACTCGGTTAACGAGCGGGCCTAGGTCGTCGAACGACCGGACAGCTTACATAATAGAACGCGCAAAACCCGCGGGCAACACTCAATGTCCAGGAGGCATACGAATCGCCACTGACGGAATGGGCAGCCGCGCCACGAACGACGGGTCGGAGCATATACGTACGTAACGTCGCCGCCCGAAACGTCGTCGAATCGGACGAGCCCGCCGCGGTCAAATGCGAGCGACGCGGAGTAGCGTCGCTCTGTTTAACGAAATGTCTGCGGACTTTAAATATTTTCGTGTGTGCATTTTTAATTCACATTGAACTCGGAATATTTTTTTTTCGACGTTTGCGAATTATTCGGACTTGTATTATTTTTGTGCGGAAATTATCAACTATTTATAAACTCGAGTCGGAGTTTGACTTATTTCGAACATTTTTTTCTTCCGAGTCCTATTCCTACGTTGGCCACCGTTACAGTACGACAATACGATTTTAGCTCCAAGTTGTACCAAGTCTCGCCATGTTTCCCGTCAGTTGTACTTTGGCGATAAACGCGCGTGTCATATGCGTCCATCGCATAGTACTTGGACATTTTTCAACAACGGCTTTTCCAAATTTTAAATGCCAATTAAAAAATCGGTTTTGTAATGGTTTGTAAAAATGTGTTTTATTTCAAAAATTCTATTTATTGATTATTTTATACTATTACTATTCTTATTCTATACCCTCTATACTCCATAACAGTTTATTATCATTTTTTTTCTTCGGTTTATTTTTAATATATTCCCTAGTCAATTGTATTTTTTTTTTTTTTATAATTATTGAAGATCTTGATTAGTATTCTCGCTCTACGATAAGAGATTTTACCTCAGCGTGTGTCAAACATTTCTACTACTAGCAAATACAGATGATTATTATTACTGTTATTATTATTGTTAACATGTATTCGTTTTTTTTTTTACGTCAGTCACTCAAAATAAGATAACGATGAAATAAAAGATTTTTTTTTTTGTAAGTACATATTACGTTTTGTTATTTTGTCAATTTGTAGTATTTTTAGCAGCATCTCGGAACTTTTTATCATTTAAATTAAATATTATTCAGACCACTGTGCGTTGGAATCGAAAATAAACCGTTTATCCGACTATTATGTACATTATTGTTCGCGGAATCGATAGAATATGACGCGTAATCGTTTGGAAAAGATTTACCGAACCTAACCTAACCTTAATATTATAAAATAGAATAAATAAAAATAAACAATAATTAATAATTATTTTCGAGAATATTAGGTATATGCATTTTTCGCTGTAGCGATAACAACTAGTGCGTTCGGACACAAACGTCTTATCGTTGCCTGTCTCGCTAATAAATAATTAGGTAATTAAAAAAAAAACGACTGTCCTAACGTTCTCGTGATAAAACCGAAACGATTATTTCCGCGGCCGAAACAAATAAAGGGTACTCAATGGTTGGAACAGTGAAGTGTTCTCGATTATAAATCAAGTGTGTCCTGTGTCCCTGCCGAGTAAAAATTTGTACCTCGCGTGTTCCTATAATAATTAGTAGACGACCTTGCTGAATGACAAATGTATACGTTTCGAGGGTCACGTAGGCGATTAAATATTTTATCTTATTATCTTAGCGAACCGACGGGACGAGTTTCCGATTTTGTTGACATGATCAGACATTATTTATTATTTATAAACATATTTTGTATTCAGAATTAATAGCAAACATTAACGACGCGCGGTGACGAAAAATCGTAAGCTCATCTTGTCTCCAATATGATCGCCAAATATCTTAAAACATTTCCGATAAAATACCATAATATTGAAAACAATAATATTATTATTTGATATTTCCCGTTTATGAATAGGTACTAAAGGGGTTTATTTGCATTTGACGTTATCGTGACGGGAAAAATAAGCTGCGTATTAATTGATATCTTATCAAAAAACTAAATTATAAATAACATGACTGAAAGTGATTAAATTAATTTCCTTTTTTTCTGCGAAAAGTAGCGGAATTTATTCGTAGATACCGAGTATACCCATATACCTTATCGGTGTTCCAAGGAAGACGGATACGGTAATTTCAAGATTGATTCATAAAGCGAGGCGTTATCTTTGTGTTATGATAATTAACCTCGGTCGGCCGGCCCCAGTTGTACGCTCCTCCGGAAACATCGCCTCGTTTAGAATTGTTGTATAAGCGGCCTATCCGTTTGCTGCATACGCGGTTTTCCTATTGAAAATGTAGACATTTTGGAAAAGTTAATTTTTTTTTTTTCAACGGCTACGCTTCAACATTCTTATCGCGGTCCGCGCGAGTTTTGGTAACCAATGGGTCGTCATTATACTGTGATATTCGGTGAGAAAAACCGGGCTTGTTGCGTAACCGGTTACCGAACTGACCGTACGAAACAGACTCGTGAGACGCGACACATTGCGGGATCGGGTCAGTGTCTTGCTGTGAGCGTGTCCGTACGGTGTCCGCGCGCCCGCGATAATAACACTGATATTATTCGTACGCGTTCGCGCGTATTTCCGATTGTTTACGTCTTTGTTTTCGTCACGGGCGTTTTTATACAATTATGCCGGTGTCGCCGTCCCGAACGGAATACCTTAAGGCATCCGTGTTTCCGCGGGCCGTCGCTGAGGGCGCGTTCGGACCGGACGCTCGTTTCGTGTCGTTCACCGTGGAGGACGGTCCCGGGGACACGGCCGGCGCCCAGTTCGCATCGGACATCGTGTTCGGAACGGTTACCGTGCAGACGAACGGCACGGCCACCGAACCGCCACGCCGTCACCCGGTGGTGATTAAGTTCAAGAACGCCAATCCCGTCATGTCGGCCATGATGAACATGCACCAAAAATTCTATAACGAGTACTTATTCTACGCCCGGCTACTGCCGGAACTGGCCAGGCACGCGGCCCACCCGGCCGCCGCCCTGGCCCTGTTCCCGCGGTTATTGTATTCCAACGCTACGCTGGACGGGGCTGACGGCGAAGAACAGGTGATCGTGATCGCTAGCATATCGCCCGCCGGTTACCGGATGACGGATCAGCGGGTGTTCTTGGACGCCCAACACGTTCTGCTGGCCTTGCGCAAACTGGGCGCGTTGCACGGTCTGTCGTACGCGGCCAAAGCCAGTCCGGACGGCCGACGGGCCTTGTTGGAACTCACCGCCTCGCTGGCTGAAACCCAGTGGTTCGACGGTTATTGGTACAAGAGTCCGCGGTTCTTACCAGGTATGCGGCGTAACTTTTCTGTTCGAATCTAACGAATATTTTTAATTTTCCCGTTCCGTCTGGGGACAAAAACAAAACACTGAAAACACTGTTCTGACGACGACGACGATAGCGGACAAATAAAAAACAGAATTTTTTTTTTTCTATCACTTCTTGTATTTGTAAATAAGAAACACGAATCGTTCAAAACGTTTAAACTAAGACGTATAAAACCGTATACAATATTTATTTAGTAACTATTTAAATGGCGCAACGGTGAAACTATAATAAGTATCTAGTTATCTCGGTAGTTGGTAGATCAATTGTTCCCACTTCCTATGAGTTAGTTTAAATGTTTCAAACAATTTATTTTACTATTATAAAATTGTCATTTTTTTTTTTTTTAATGATGTTCTAGAGAGTATAGAAAATTTTTGAAATTTTGAAGCTCATAATTCCGAACCGATTTTATACTACTACGCCTAATTTACCGTTTATTAGCTGCGCGGCATTATTGTAAAATAATTTAAAATACTTCGGTTCGTCGAGTATGTTTTTTTATTTTTTTAATTATTTAAATTGGAATTTTATTGAAATTATGTTAATAAGCATTTTTTCCGCACAGTTTAAACTGATCCCCGCTAAAATATAAACGGAAAGGGTGGGGGAGAACGTTATTCGATAAACATTTTTTTTTTTTTTTTTTTTTTTTTTTTTTTGTTTTCACGCACGTATCACTCGAGGAAATTCGATTGTATAAAATAGCTTCGAAAACTATTTATGTTCATGTTGTAGACAAAATCTCGAGTGAGAAAATCTCGCTCGTCCTTTTTAAACTCAAATATTTACACTTTTCGAGTAGGTACGCGCGCGAGTACTTGAGTGCAGCTCACGCACGTATAAAAATAAACGGTAAACAATAGAAAATTCCTTACCCCTGATAATTATTAAATGCCACCGTCTTGCAACAGCATAATAATTATCGGGAAGTTTAAGGAGATAAATTTGGCAAAATATGCTCACAACAAAAATAATCGGAATGACAAGAAGATATTTTAAATGTGCGAAAAAAAAAAAAAATTAAAACATTTGATTTTGGCACCGGTTGGCGTCATATTTTGACATTTATCGAGCCGAAAAAAATAGTTGAAAAAAAAATATAGGTATTATTAATATTTGCGAAGCCGAATTGGAAATAAATGAAATATGTTTTATATAACGTACGTACCTGTTGAGCCGTTGTGTAGGGGAACGACCGATATTTTCTGTAGATGTCCAATTTCTAATGACCCAATCAACTCGTCAGACTCATCATAACTTATCATCTACCGGGTATCCAAACGGACTTTAATGTGTGTCCGATATTTGGAAAAAAAAACGCTTCGAGCTGTAAACGATACACGTCCGATTTTAACTGGCTCGAATGTCTCTAACCGAATATTATTAACCTTATACCCGGGCACGGATTCAGAGCAAATATTGGAGGGGGGAGACAACACAAATACATTTGAAGTATAATATGTATATGATACGTAATGTATATTATTTTCTCATACGTATCAGTGATTGGACCATAGTGATATCAGGACCAATAGGATTATTAAAAAAAAAAAAAAAAAATTCGGAGAAATAATTTGTATGTCTGGGGCGCAAGGTCCAAAGGGGGGGGGGTCGGGCCCTCAGGTCCGCCCCTAACCTATTGGATCCATCCTTGCGTATACCCGCAGTAATATCATACTGTTGTACCCGCATGTGTGCGGTCCCAGTCCAACTAACGGGCGATGTAGCAAAATCTACCCCGCGGCAGAACTCGCTTGATTTCGATTTCAATCACCTATTGAGCCAAAAACACGATACGGTTTTTTTCATTATTATACTGATAATCATTCCGTGTATAACGTATACTGATAATCATTCCGTGTATAACGTTCGTTACGCCGTTCAGAAAAAACGACCGATCCGTCGGTTTTAAACGACTGTTTAATATTTTTCGAAAAAAAAAAGAAAAGAAAAAAAAACCCGGTGGCCTCTGGCCCTCTCGTTTTCGGTTTTATAAAAGACAAACTGCTCTAAAACCGAAATTGAACGAGTTCTACCGCGGTGTCTGCACGCCGTAGATTTCGGTATATCGCCCGGTCAGTCGGATTGAAAGAGCTCGGCTGGCCCGCGGCTGCCCCGCGCTCTCAACGGGCGACCGTTAATTTTGTAAACGTGTTTTATTATAGATCGATAATACCCCTCCCACCCGATTACGAAATGCGACATTTTTCTTTGCTATAAGAGAAATGGCGTTTTACCTTTTCGGTAAAAAAAGGTATCGGGCCGGCTGAAGGAACGGCCGAAATCGTCAATTTCCCCGATATATAATAAGTCCATAATAGTTCTCGGCGTACTTGCTTTTTGATGAACAGGAAAAACTCGCTCGCTCTTTTGATTTTAAATCGAAATAAACAAGAGTTCTTCGACTGCGCTATAATTGCCACGGTGAATAATGCGAAATCCGTACTACACCATCCATTAATTTTCTCTCTATTTCTAAATTAACGATTTGTTTCGTTTTTTTTTTTTTTTTTTATAAATAGATTAATCTACGTACATTTGCAAAGTAGGTCATCTTTTAAGTGCCCTCTTTACCCCCCCCCCTCCAACCACTGAATTTTATTAAATTTAAAAGGATTTCGTATGTCTATCCGATATAATACGCGTTGTTACGCGTGTCGACATTTTTACAAAAATATTCTCTATTCCCCAATAGTCAGTCGGGAAGGATTCTGTTATTGAAATCCAAAAGTGTATAGACACTCGTGTATACCGAGTACCTTAGCCGGGTACGTGGAGTACATATGGAATAGGGGTGGACTGTTAAAAGTAATGTATTGAAAACAAAGCTTAAACGGTTCCGCCACAATACGACCGAACGAGAAAACCTCCAAAACAAAAATCCACGTCGCATCGGATCCTCCGAGACAATCGTCGCCGGTTCGCGGATAAAATAAATAGATTAACAGCCTCACGAAAATTAAAAGTTCCGAAAATACAATGCATTATGATTGATACAATATCGTACGTGCGTTATATAACGGATCGTTTAGTGCCTACGCGATATTTCGAAAAAAAAAAAAAAAAACAAACAAACACAGACAAATATTATCGTCGGAACGCATTTGTTATGTAAATCGAGAAAAGGTCGAACGCGTTGCGAACGAGTGTCGACGCGATAATAATATCGCTATCGTTTTCACGGTGTCCTCTTGAACCGAAAAAAAAAAAACACGCACAAATACGAATAAAAATTAACGATTTATTATTATCGCCGTAATTCGACGCCTCGCGGATGGTCCGCGACGGTCGTGTACGTTTACGTAATGCATCGGATTACCGGCCGAGTTCGACACGATTAATACTGCGCGCACCAGCGTTGGCCGGGGCGATTTTTTTTTTTTTTTAAAGAAAATCATTACGCAAAACGTCGCTGCGACAAAAGTTTGATATTTATCTATACGGATATATATGTATTGTTATAAAGTTATCTACTGTGTGTAATACAACGCAATCTGTAAAGTTTCGGGCGAGGGGATCGGTAGGGATATATTTATATGCATGTATATATATGTGTATACACCCGTGTAATAATTTATACACCTGTGTTGTTATATATACTGGGGGGGGAAAAAAAAAACAACAACAAACTTAGTTCCTTCTAAAATATTACCGATATCGCGAAATCTGATTATATTATATTATTATCGTCTTTTGTGCGAAACGAGTTCTGAATAAAAGCCCGCGGGCTGCGGAAAATGGTAATGAGACAATGATAGAAATGTCATGACATTGCATTTTATGTTGTATGCGTTGTAGTAAAATATAGCGGCAGTAAAGCAACGGCGACGATGGCGGCGGCGGCGGTAGACGAATTTTCTCAATTTCTCATTTTAGCGAACGCGCGAGATAAATTTTACGTTACAATAAGATGAACGATAATCATTATTTATATAGCTCTGAAAACCCATTTGTATTGTGTTGTGCGTGTACACTCTCGTGTTGTGGATGTATACCGCAGTTCGTACGAGTCTATGCGCGAGCACGCCGGGCCAGAGGAGCGCGAGACTTAAGTTTCCTGGCGGAGGGGGTCGAAGCAGCCGGAGCACGGCGCGTCGCGCGGACAAATTTCGCGTCGAAAATTGGTCGAAATCCTACGCGGTGTATTCAAATTAAAACGGAAAAAAAAAACCTAGGTACCTCGGAAAAGCGGGACAGTGTGCGTGTGTGATAAGGGGGGGGGATAAAGAGATTGATTACTTAACCGCGGCAATCGAACGTGTCAATCGCGTTGTCACCGTCGATTGATTAATGAACATTAAATCCAACTATATAGTGTATAGGAAAAGTATACGGGGAAAAAAAAAAAAAAAAAACCCGCGACCAGGTTTAAAGAAAATAATAATTATTTTTGTTCGGTTTTTAATCAAAACCAAATAGCGTTATAAACAATATAATAGCCGGCGCATTGTCTTTCAACCCGTCTCCGATGATTGAAAACGCGTATAAAAGTGTTGTGGCGAGTGGAAAACGGATTCAACACAAAAATAAAATAAAACAAAATACGGACATTAATATGGTTATTTGAATGCTATTTTTTCGTTTGATTTTTTTTTATTCCCAGCCGTAGCGAGAGAGTTATCGGTTTTACTAAGATGTTTATTTTTCTTTCTTTCTTTATTTCTTTCTTTGTTCTAGTCAGTGGACACGGTTTTTCCTAGTATAATTGCTCCGATTTTTACGCGTAGCGCTTTTTCTGAAAGCTCAGGTTGTTTGTTTAGATTGTACTTTAAAGAGGTTATTTTTTCAAACTCGATGCCGTTTTTTTGAATAAAAGCATTTAAGTGGGAAAAAAAAAACGTAGGAAAACGTACAATTTCACGATTTTGTTATTTTATAAAAACACGGACGACGTTTTCTACCGGAAAAATGATTGAAAAAATAACAAGACACATTTTTGATTTGCTTTCTAACGGTATTATCGTCAAAAATGTTGAGCCTTTTTTGAGCTTTTAAGGAATTTTAATTTTCGGGAGGTTTTTCGCTGTAATTCGATTATAAATTCACGTAGAAACTCGAAACTCGGTAATAATACTAATATTGGACTTACTTAGACGCGGTAAAATTTCCAAAATAATATCGGACGATATTTCTTTTAATAAGCGTTTTGAAATCGGATTCAAACGTAAATCGAAAAAAATAAATTACCACAATTTAAATTATGTACTATCGGACTGCGCTAGAAATCGTCTTCCGTCAAGAAATTGTATGTCGTTGCTAACAGATATAAATGAAATAACCTCACGTATCCTACAATCGCAACTTCTCACCTACGACAGTGGCCGCTCCCATCTCCAATATCGGCTCTTGTTTTTATTATTATTCACATTTTAGAACGTTAACAATTCGGATTCGGTTTTTAAAATGTTCTTTTAAAATTTCTACACGACGAATTCTACCTATGAAGCTTTGCGGTGTTTAGCATTTTATAGATGCGTTTATTTTGAATTTCTCGCAAGCTTTGAAACATTCTCAGTCACATTTACATATATATTATATTGTTTTCGATGGAAATAATGTGTATAATCTACAGTGCATAAAACATAAAACGTCGGACGAACCGCTCTTTAAAACGATCAATAACACCTATAATGTATTATAAATTTAAAACCTACGCAACAATAATGCGATCTAATTATGAAAAGTTGGCCTTTTTTCAAATCATTGGAAAATCCGGAAGAATCGTTCTAGAAGAATTTCGATTTTGGATTTTCAAATTCCGTTGAAAATCCTATTGAAAACAGTTTCGTGTTGGGATCACGGTCGTAGACAATTAGTATTATATCCGACTTAGAATGCTATACATATTACAGACATAATTGACATTTTATTGAAAATCGCTTAGTTAAATGAAAAAAATCGCTGATTAATAATTGAAAAATCTCCACCGTAATCCTACTATATGTATAGACATTATATATATTATATTATTTATTATTCATCAACTAAATAAAACAATTGTACAAATGATATATAACAAGCGTAATTACACTAGTGGTTTACTCGTTAAAGCCTGTGGCTGTGGTGTGAGTAGGGTTTAGATATGACGTAATAACTAAAATATTACATAAATATAGTTAATACGTCATGAACAATACATTTCGATTAAATTATTTGTAACCTATAAATAAAAATATAACTAAATAACAAAATCTTGAAATTGTAATCCATCAATGTTAACGTTTAAAATGTGAATAGGTATTACCAAAAGTAGATAAATTAATTTTATATCATGCACACATTTTACAGAAAATAAATAACGTACCTGCAGACATTGAAATTACGACATCGTTGCTACATAATATGTATATGTTAACTACATAAACGTTTTATAGTTGCTGTATATAATGTCAATTACACGAAATTTTTTTTGTTTTTGAAAAATAATTACTTTTTTTATTTATTATTATTTAAAAAAAAAAACAAACATTCATATTCCCCGTTTTATGTGAACACATTATCTAAGAACCGTTCGTCGGATATAAATGACAGTATTGTTAATATCCAAACGATTGCTGATGAGTATAACATATTTATAACCGCGGGGCGATAGTTGGAAAGTGTCCTTCGCGTCTTTGAAAAATCTATCAAACGCGTTAAAAGTAAAATCAGATCAAATCTAATCGCATATAATCTATATAATCTCATGTTAAACCCTTTAAACTGGCCAATCATCTCGGATTGATTATGCCGCGGTTAATGTCTTGCAGTTAAAATGTCGACCGCGAGCGATAACAAAATCTCATTTCTAGTTTCACCCCGGGGATTTACATTGACTGGCGTTTGAATTATCTTAACTGTAGAGATCTGTATCTAAAACGGTTTGATTTCGGGCCTTCTCTGTTTCTGGATTGATCGTCGTTTTAATGCGATACAATTTACGAATTTCAATAATCGGGTGTTTAAAAAATATTTTACTCTAACTAAAATAATATACAGAGAAAAAAAAAATCACACGGCACCGGTATCAATGTAACAGTAGATCGAATTTATCACGTAGATAACGTAATATTATATTATATACAGCGTGGCGCTTTACCAGGATTATACAGGCACACTTAGTTGATCTCGTTCGCCCGACGGTAATAAATTTTACCGGAATCCGATAAGCGATAACGATTGTCTTTAAATTATTTATTGCATATGATAAAGCGATGTTGTATAAAAAAAAAAAAAAAAAAAAAAAGATGTCGGCGTTTTACCTTGGTTAAATTATTGATAATATTGTTATATTCATTTTATGCGGCGTGTTCGTATACACACACACACAGACACACACATATATATATATATATATAAATACACACGCAAATTGCGTTTGAAGACGAATTTAATAAATTACACACCCGTTGTTGTCAAAACCGAATCACCAATAAATCACGACGGCTTTTAAAGCTCGACGGTATTTTTTTTCTCCACCATTCACCCGCAGTTGTATGTGTAAAGGGCGACTGTAAAATTGAATTGTTAATACTGCCGTTGGATAACGATTGTACATATTATAAAACCGACACCAACCGCTCGTAAATATCGAAAATTAATTGTCGAATCGACTGAACCGGTCGAGACCGCCCAGTAATTCATAATATTATATCACGTTCCCCCTCTCCCTCCCTAAAAAAACCTACCGATTATTATTATAATTTCTTCTGTATAAAATTCCAAAAAAAACAAATACCAAAATGCGACGATGGTTTATCTAAATCTGTTGCGCGCGTTCGTTTGTCGAACCGAAATCGTGTATACTATATTAATATTATGACAGCTGGCGGATGCCTTTGTCACGATTGTACATCCGAACGAAGATTTCGAGTGAAATTGATTCAGGTTTTTGTACGCAATCATTTTATAGCTACTCGGTCTGTTAATGTAATAAATTTTAAAATATTTGCCTGACTTTCCGGCGTTTTTCAAGGAAATTTTCTGTGTTCAAATGGATACACAGCGGTGAAGTCCATTGGACACCTAGTATACAGTAGGATTTTTCTCGTGGGTCCACTATAGAAAATAAACAATAAATAAACGAATTAGTCGATTTCGTGACACAATATTATTTTTCATATGCATAGGAAATACTCTTAATGGGGTATGTTTTTCGGGTAACTGGAGAAAGTCCGAAAATTTAAGGGAAATGTTCGGTCTATATTCTTGTGAAGTTTTTCAAGGGAGGAGAGGACACGCACTTGTTATTAACTAAAACCTGCCCGTTCCCAATAAACAATAAATATTTAGACTTTCAAATTCCGGGTCTTTTCCAATCCATATTTAAAAAGGATGATATTTTTATAAAAACGTCGTTGTTACGTATTACACTAATATTGAATACACGTCGTGTGTGTCGTTACAATATTATTATACGACATAATATCGATGTCGGGAGAGTTTATCGTCGTAATTTTTTTACATTGTCGGTTTTTTATGTATATATATATATAAAAAATAATAATAATAATACGACTCCGATACGACAAGAACTACGTTTATATAATCTATTACGTTTTTGAAACAGTGTTGGCCAAAGCATTTATGAATAACAATAATAACCCACGATTAACCGATGATTATAATCGAGTATACAATTATAGTCGAATTCCGTATGATATTAAGAATGTAACAGTATAATAACACCGATCATTTTGACACGTTTCTAATTTATAAGGTTTTTTCATAATGACAAGATGTCTGTAGATCACAGCAGCTCACCGAGACACACTAACGACTGACGATTAAAAAGTTACTATTAATTAAAAAAAAAAAAAAAAAAAAAACTTTACGTAAAAACCATTTTTGTACTTTTAATATCGAAAAATGAAGTATTATTTTGAGAATTGATTATTGCAAACCGCCAACGAACGATCGTTTTACAAATGTCATCGACAAATTGTATAACAGGTGATTTATCCCTACAACAAGGATTCTTTTCTTCTGCGTACGTGAACGCAATTTTGTTTATTAACTGTTCGCTAGAAATACAAAGGTGGCAAACGACCTTTTGACGGCTTCTCTTAAATCGACAAAATGCCATTATAAGTGAAATATTTAATCACGATATTATGCTTTGTAAATCATTAGTTATTATATTATTTACAATAATATATGTTTATATAAACTTCGGTTAATCGTGGAATATTTTTTTCGGCTAGCATTACATGTTTTCGATTCCGAACGTTGTTCTTAGCGATGTTTTCTTGTGGAAAAAAAAACCGTTTAACGTCAAACTGTTGTGCGTTCCGACTAGTAGTGACCACCGTACGTGTTAAAAACGCACAATATTGTATTGGTGTATATTTTTTTTGTTCGACCGACCATTAAAAGTTAATATCCATTAAAAGTTAATGTAATCACCGAAACGGGTTTGAAAAATAGTTCTTTTTAGACAAAAAAACTATTGATTTAATAAGTGGGAGATTTATTGTTAGGACCGATGAGTCATGCACGCGGTACCAATTTTTTTTTTTTAGCTATTTCGAGAAAAAAATCTCAGTAAATAACAAATTGAAAAAAAAAAACACACGTGTACAGCAGGGTTCTTTCACTTCTTACAGGGTGATTCTTTTTTTATCATGAACTAGCAATGTTACCAGACAATTTTAAGTGAATTTGATTTCTGTTTTTTTTTCTCCATCATTATGGAATCTTTTTTAATTTTTTAACCCTACTTCTTATATCTGAAATGAGTATTCATTTTAAATTTTCAAATAGCGACCTTTCACTTTTCTCTCTTTTAATAATCACAGATATAAATAGAAATTATTTTTCTTGTAATTATGATATGCATACAATTAATATCAGATATACCGTTTATGAGTTACAGCAGTTTAAAGTTTAGACCAGAAGATTAGGAAAGGGTTATCAATTTATCATTAAAACTAAATTTGCAATTTATTAGCCTATGGAATTCTATTGAGTCATAATAATTATAGAAACAGAAATAATATTCACCTAAAATCCACCGAGAATGGCCGATTCATGATAAAAGAATCGCACTGTAGTGTTGAATTCTCCCCACCTTTTTCGTTTGTATTGAAATATTCTTTGTAAAACAATGTAAATAACCAAATCCTGTAATAATACCGTAATTGTAATACATACTACAACTGTACTGTATACTTTAAAAAACGTTGTTAAATTTGAGCTTAAAAATGGTGGGGAGTTCAAATTAAAACCTTTTAAAAGACATATCCTTAATTATACTAACGCCATGCATAATACGTATGCATATGTCATTTCCTTTGTTTCATTTCGGAGGAGGGAGGGCTGCAGTAGGAATGTTTAGAGCTAAAAAATATCTGCCTCTTCGCTCCCGCAACGAAATGGCGCAGAAATTTATATTGAAACTCAATTCGACTTTTACTACTTCAGTTCGTCTTTGAAACAATACAAATTCTTGAAATTTGTCTGCTCGTTTAGTCCTGCGAGAGTCGCTAAAATTAGCGGGAAAAAACACAATTAAATAATGGCGTAATAGATTTTTTTTTCGGAAAATATTCTAAAAAAACAAAAACCTTATGTATACATTATATTATAAATACATTGCGTTATTAATTAATTTTAATTCAGTGTGGTACCTAAGTACTTTCGTTTATTTGTGTTAATAAGTACCTAAACGAAATGCGTCAAAAATGTTATGTTTTTTTGTTTTAGAGAATTATTATGAAAATTCGATTTTCTACAGATATTTGGATTCGTGTTCACAGTGGTCCGTCGTTCGTTCCCAAATATACTATTAGCTTAATTTTAATCATAAATGAGTGTTTGATATGTATTTTTAATCACTTCCCCCCCTTCCCCCGTTATCTTGCTTTGGGTCCGCTCTTAAATTTTAGATTATGCATCATATTGGTAATAATTTTTAAAGCAATTGGTAAACGTAGGAATTATATTATCCTTCATCATCACTCATCTCCAAAGCCCGTGGCCTACACCCAAATGCGATTAAAATATTATATTATAGAAGTTTTCTGAGATAAAAAATTAATTAATTTCAACGAGTTATATATATATATATATATATAATATTTATATACTAATCCGTATTATGTTTTAATTATAAAAATTCAATTACCGGGCTAGCGATGCTAAAAAATATTTACATAACTCTCGGTTTTTAGGCATTAAATTAATAGCACAAATTGTATCCGCTGCGGCGAAAGGTGCGAATAAAAACAGTCGGAAAAATCGGTGTAAGGCTGGTGAAAATTTGGCGATGCCCATAATATTATGGTAGTGATAAACAGGAGCGTATTGGTTTCTGAATTCCTTTCAAAAAAATTTCAATTTTCGGCCATCGAAATAACGCGCGATACCTATTGAAAATCGGAAAACCGGTACTGGGAGTTGCAAAAGTAATGTGTATGGTCACCCCTACCGCTTTTGCAATCCTGTTACACATGATATTTTAGTTTTCATTGGTAAAACCTTCAAAATCCATCGATTTTGTTGTTATTATTAACTTTTTTTTACGAATGAGAGGCACGGGTAAACTAAAATTAGCACAAACAAATTAAATGTTCCGACATCTATTTTTTTTGGGGGGGTTTACTATATTATCTAAATGATAACTTTTTACAAGGTGATGTTATTGCCATAAATAGTGGACGGGAGACTTGTGGGACTTAGTCGCCCCCCCCCCGAGTTTCTACAAATTCCCTTCAGTTCAAAAGTCGGTGCTTTGTACTAAGTATACGTGACCAAAGATATGGAGCCTTAAGCCCTCTCCCAAAAATATTTGGTAATTTGCGATTATAGGTGGCGCTACTCAGTAGCGGTAAAATAATAAAATACCCACCCAATAACAAAATATTTTTCTTTTTTTTTTTCCAAATTTATTATTTGTATTAAATGAATAACCTTTATATTTCATACAGTTCGAAATCACAGTAGTGGCTACTGCGATTTCCCCGATTTTTCTACATTCATATAATAATAATAATAATACAGCCTTCTATACAACATAAGAGCATCCCTTTAGGTTTTGACGATTATTTCGGCCCAAACAAACGGAATAGGCCGCTCATATTAAATATTTTCCTGGGCTAAATTGTTTCCCAGTCCGTATGTATACATAAGGGGTAGGGGTGAGTTTGAATAATAATATTTCATTCGCATTCAGCAGAGGAAATACGGTCTTCTATTCGTATATATATATATGTAAGAATACACTATAAATATATGCGTATTGTTTATTACTATTATTTACATTTGTTTTATTTCGCCAACGACCCTTGGTCCACGTCATATAAGTAAGGTACGTAGGTATATATGCGGGGAGATTCGTCATGAATCAGCGATTTTCTCAGAAGATTTTAAGTGACTTTGATTTTTTTATTTATTGCTTTTCAATCAGACTATATAATATACGGAATCGTTTAAGCTTTATTTTAATGCTATTTTCAATTTGCATTCCTTATACCTTAAATGAATATAAACTTTCGATATTCAATTAGAAACGTCCTGTCCCTTTTAAATACAGTTTCGAAAGATAATATTTTTCCAACAAATTTGATACGCATAACATTAATAGTGGGTTATCAATGATAAATTTATCATCTACAAATTTATATAATATGAAGTTTATTGCTACTCTCCGCCGGTCTAGATTATAAGATAGAACGGTTATGACGGATAAACGTTAAATATGATATTTTAGCGTTAAAAATCGAATTCACCTCCGAAAAAATCGCTGGGTCACGATAAAAGGATCAACCTGTACAATTATCGAAATCATTTTACCCAGGTTAAATGGAATTTCCTCGATTGAGCCTTTACCCCCTTCCCGCCCCCGGGTATTCGCTATTGTTGCGTATTATATTATACTATTTTACGACGACGACGCGACGATTACTGCCGGGATTGAATTTTATTTTTTACTTTCAGGGTAGGGAGGTGCGAATTCGCGTATTATATCATTATAAATCTACCGCGACCGAGTTCGTCTCGCGAAAAACGATGAGCGGCGAGGGAGACGGACGGAAGCTTTTCTCAGCGCGATCGTGCGATAATAGCGCGCAGTTAACCCTCATAAATCCCGTAATAGGTCCCAGCGAGAAAACGACGAAGAAAAAAAACCCGAATCACCACACCTCCGGGTATTATTATATTATACCTATACTATATCGACACATGCCTGGTAAAAAAATTGGTGACTTTCGCCCCACCGCAAAAACAAAAATACGTCCACCACTCAATAAAATACAATTTTTATTTTGTCAAGTTAAAATGTCTGAAAAATTGTCGATACGTCGATGTTCAACATAAACGGTAGATAGTGGTATTAATAAAAGAAATGATAAAAACTTGAGTCTTGATCGTATAAATAAACACTGATTATTAATCTTAGTTAATATTATCGTTGTTTCAATAATATTATTGCTAATTTACTTAGTGCCAATAATTCGCATTGTTATATTGATAATATATTATGTTGCTTCTGTAAAAAAATTTTGTCATACGCACAAACTATTATCCAGATAATAATTTTAATATTGACTATAACTATAACTATTATAACTATTAACAATGTAATATTGTTAAAATTACCAATGATAATTTTTTCGGTGTAGTATAGTATTTTTTTTTTCTTTATAAGCGTTCCAATTTTTCACGAAATAATAAAAATCATCAACTGCACATTTTGCGTACGATATAGATCGATATACGTATCGGTATACCTACTATTTTTCAATTTTTGTGAATTAAATTATTATTCTTTAAGCTCCGTAAAAATGCTCAACAACCTATTTTATCAAAAAAGTTCATCGAAATTCGTCTTTTAGTGGTAAACACAAATAAGGATGGATAGTATCTTCGTCATAAATATCTTAAATACGTATCTTAGATATGATTGTATCTTGTATCCCTTTTCATCTTGTTATTCGATAAAGTATCGAGTACCGTGTATTGTGATACTGAAATAAATGTATCTACTATTGAGTATCTAAATGCTCATTTTGAAGTAATTTGTATTTAAGTGACTGATAGGGGAAGGAAAATCAGAGTCGTTTCCCCCCATATTTCAAAAAATTACAGACAAAATTAAAAGTGGTTAGACGAAAAAGAGGGAGCTAATGGGAATATTGAAAAATGTCTTAAATAAAATACCATATTTTTTAAATATGAACAAAATTGTAAATAGTTTAATTTTAATGTGTTGAGTATTATTTTATATGGCAACTCTTCTTACGTAAGTATCTATATTTTGCACCCAGATACATTGCAAATCAATGTATCTAGTATCTAGTATCGATTATTTAAATCAGCGGTCCTCACTACGCGGTCATTACTAAAACGTCTAAAACATAAAATACATGCAATCATATCTTTTCTTATTATTCTTGTTTATTTTATCTGTCAATTTTGAACTTCAACTGAATTACCAGTTTGATAGATAATTAGGTAGGTACAGGCAAGAATTTATTTAATAAAAAAAAATACGCTAACGGAGACATTTTTTTTTCAGGTCAATATTGCAAAAAAATTCGAATTTATTTACTGTATGCGACCTGCGCGTAATTTTCAAAAATAATAATTGGTCTTTTTAGAATCTTAGTGGTGACAGCTGATCTAAATACTAATTTTGATGTATTTTGCTTGTCCCTAAAAAAAGAAAAAAGAACATTAATATCGTTGATTATTTGTATAAATATTTTATGATAATATTCGTTAAAAATACGAACAATATTTTAATATCATTATCTTGTAGTTATAAAACGAAATCAAATAATATTCAAATATATCAAAGTCAAACTACGTTCAGAATTGTATTTTTTTTTTTAAAATGTTGAGTTAATTATTACCGCGTTATTCCTCCGTTCTAATGGACAGACACGTCTTCGTTTTCTCAATGAGGCTGAATTTAATCAGCTACTATCCCGGCTTTGGTTCAAAATTAAAATACTATAATTTCACTTACTCGTAATGTGTTATTATTAAATCGTAAACCCGGTGGCGTATTAGCTTTCCGAGTTAATTCAGCACCAAGTCGATTCTGATTGGTCGATTTGAATTCATCCGGTTTACCTATAATAACAATAATAATAATAATATTACTATTATTATTATTTTATTTCTTATCATCTCTTTCACACATCATATTATTTGCACACCGTAATCCAGTGCACTATTTGTAGGCGTTTCAGTATAACCGCCAAATAGTTCGGTTTCACGGGTAATATTTCGAACACACCACAATAACTGACAATGTCGGGTACGAACCGTTTCGAGGGCTGTCAGATTGAAATTTCTCGGCCGTCGACAATACCGGCTTACAATGCGGTAAACACTATACGAGTAGTATTTATACCTTATAGCAATGGTTGAAGTCGGAAAAACTTCGAAGGAGCAACTACATTTACCGACAATTGAGAATCGACTAACACCGAGAACTAACTAAACCAAACCGAACTTTCAGGAAACCAATTATCCTACGCATATGCCTGCTCAGTAAAAATAAAGTGAAACAGTGTCTGTTTATGTATAATCTGTAATAAGTATTAAATAATTTATTTTTATTAAATTTATTCGAATTTTTACAATTGCATATAAAATATCTCCGTGACAATAACTTCGGAGTCCCTAGGACTCCGAAGATTAAAACTGAATTAGACTAATAAGTTTACCATACAAATAAAGAGATACTTCGTTATCCCTTCCGCATCCCTGTCACTTTAACTAATAACTTTTACCTAATACACCTAACATTTTTTTTTTTTAGGTAGGCAATCTCAAATTTGTTCACGTAGTATCTCAAAAAATACGGAATTTTTGCCCGGTAGTATTATTTATTTGAAAATTTGATCGAAGTTTTCAAACAGATCAGGTTGTAGATTAAACTTAAGTATAAATTATAATACATAAAGAGTTATTTTCGTAATGTCCTAAATCATACCGTAAATAAAACAGATGACCGCGCGTCATTTGATTTCCAAATAGTTATATTATTGATATAGCTGATTTATAATATTTAGAAAATTTATTATTCAAAAACAATACACTTAAAATTAATTATTATTTGCTGACTGAAGACTGATAAAAAAAAAAAAATATAGACATTAAATAAAATTATATTACGAGCTGCCGTATTATTAATTTCAATGACCACCGAAATTCTCAATTCAATCATACAATAATAATTAGAAAAGTATAATATTCTCGACGACATAAAGGATTAATTATTATTTAATTAATCCTACGCACCACTTAAACCATTTATTTTAAATTTGTTGACGCATTAGGTTATTGCCGATTATTATATATCATTAACGTTATTTTTACAGCCATAGTCACCGGAAACATGATCTGGGATGACCGAATCTATAGATCCCGTTGAAACCATTTTTATCGTAGTATTTTTTTGACTTTTAAATGTACTACGCTTATTCCTAATAGTTTTTCGAACGAAAATGGGGGTCCGAAAGTATTATAAAAGAATCATATTCTGTCATCATCTACTACCATTATAACTATACGGACGCTGTCTCTGTGATAGTTACATTGAATATCACAATAGTAACTTCAAAATTTAGAAATTGTTATATTATCTCGCTTAAAAATGAAAATATCCAACAAAACCGACGTATTGAAGCAATATTGAACTTAGATAATGTTATGACCTTTAAGTTTGGCCAATAATTCAAGCTAATATTAAAAATAATGGCACGAAGGGTCATAATAAACGTACCATTTTCTATGACGTGCATTTGTAAGACGGACAAAGCAAATGAATAATGAGTACGTATCGTCTTCTTAAATGATTATATAGTCTATAGACAATAACGTGTATCGAAAACTTAATTAATATATAAACTAATATTGTTCGTACGTTTAACTATTTAGAGTACTTCATCCAATTATGCGTACACGGTGTTAGATACTTAATATTACAATGGCGTGCAGTATTCACTGTCGTATATATATATATAATACTTGGTCTACTTAGATTACTTCTTCTATAGTGTGTGTGCAATACTTAAATGAAATAAAATGACATAATCGAACGTAATTCTACTATCGCACAAAACTATACTAGTTTTTTTTTTTTTTTTTTTAATACACGTTATTTATGCCGTACTTCTATAGTGGTTGGGTTCCAAGTTTTACATTTTAAAGCCACTGTGTATTGGATGTGACCGTTTGAACTCGGGATAACGACGAGTATATTGGAAAGGAAATTGAGGGCTTTCGAATACCACAAGTTAATTATTTTTTGTGCCATGTAAAACCGCATATTGTCTGTCTTTCCTGTACATAATAATATGTCATATTCAATATATTCCTCGAAAACGGCTGTCATTTACGGCAAAGTTATAATAATATATGTCTATGGATATGAAACCGGTGACTAGCTTTATCAAATATCAGTGGCCTCAATGCCTAGTTCATGTGTTGCGTCGAACAAATAATCACTAATTGAATAGACACCGTAACGAGTAAAGGCCGCGTTAAAAGCTCAGAATATCAAAACATGTAGGTTCTTGTTTGAAAAAATAAAGTTTTTATCACCACGAGGATACACATTAAATGTTGTGAAAAATAAAAATATCACTGCGTTTAAAAATTCCAAAAATAAATATTTGAATTCATGCATAATTTAACAATAGAAATGGAAATGAGCCTACTTAGAAAATCATTCTGTATATAATATCTTTGGTTATATATAAAAAAAAAAAATAATAATAGTTCATACAATTATTCTTGTTTCCCACCCACCCCATGATGAAAGCATTTTACCGCCACTATTGTGAGAGTGCTAGTTGCAAGGTGTAGCAAATTTAATATAGGTATTATGGGTGTCGTGATATTACAGCAGTGGCCGAAACTCTTATCGAGCAATAATATTATAGTTACGCCGGGACAAGAAGTAAAAAATTATCAATCGCGTATTTTTGTTTTTTTTTTTTTTTTGTTTTTAAAATTGATAATTTTAATTACTGTAATATTAGCAGTTTGTTTATAATATAGGATTACAAATTTTAAAGCGTTGGCCCACGCGATAAAAGATAAAAGAGAAAAAAAAAGAAACAAAAAAAAAACAAAAATAGTTTACCAACAATTTATCGAATTATGTCCCATTGATCGGCTCCGCCGTCGCCGTCTCCATTGTCACGTCGTCATCGTTCGTTTCGCGCGCAAAGTTTTTTTTTTTCAAAGTTTTTAAGTTGTCGGCCAACTTCCACGATATATATTAATAATTCTCTGTACCCGCGTGGTGTAACTCTCCGCGAATATTTCTATAATAATAATATATTAATCGATATAATAACCGCTGTAGAATTATTATTAATGTTTCGGTGATTTCAAAAAAAAAAAAAAAAAACCTTTTAAAAATGCCCGCGCACAAATAATAAACCGAAATCAACCCGACCCCTCCGACTCGTTACGACCAATGAAAGAATATAGTACCTGCTATAATTATTATTATTATACGCGTGTGATTAATATTTCGCGTATCGAAATAATTTCGGAAATTCACACTCGCGCTCTACAAAAGAGGGGAGGAGGGCCGCCCGGCTAAGTGTTTACAGCGGCGGCTTTTAGGTGTAACATTGCAAAAGCGTACACCTAAATAGTTAATCATTACCGTAATAACGATTACCGTGGTCTCCTGCACGTCTCCCGAGACGATATTCGCGTGAAAACTCCCGGGAGTATACCGGCGGCCCGTTTAATAAATCGCCGAATTATAGTGACCGGTGAGATAATACTTACGAAACCATGTATATAACATTATGAAAAACCATTAAGCGGCCGGAAAATCCGTTCGGATTGAGTTCCCGCGTCTTTATTGCCGCGGCGGCAGAGGATTTTTTTTTCATTTATTTATACTATGGATACGAAAATGTTGAAAATATTATAATCTGTCGTCGTCGGTATACGCGTATTATAATACCTAGCTAAACAATAACAATAATATAGGGGGGAGGCGGGCGATGACCTTTTTTTTTCCTAGGCCTTTGCTTGGACGGAATAATTGACGATTTATGCGTATTCGCTCTTTTCATTATTATTATTAATATAATAAAAGGAAATGCGGTTTCTCGTTTTTTTTTTTCTGGTCGAAATAAATCTATTTTTATGGCTCGTGATGTGCATAAAATAAGTACATTGCAAAACAAAACGACCAACGGATTCGTAAAAAAAAAAAAAATAAACGTACGCGTAATTTTGATTTTTTTTTGAATCTCAATTTTATTTGTTTAAAAATGTTACATACGTTTTTATATACGTTTGATACCTTTATTTATATTTTTTTTCTCGAAATAAATGTATATGAATATAACGCATAAGTGGAATTTTTTCACATAAATGTAATTTTGAGACACCCATCAAAAAAAAAATAAATAAATAAATAAATACTTTTCATGATATGTATGTTTACCATTTAATTATTTCGTTTATTCACATGTATATGTTTACAAGATGAAAATATCACTGTAATAATAGTGGCTTTTTTTATTATTTTAGCAAAAAAAAAAAAAAAAATGTATACCCGTAATGAATTATGTTTTTTCAAAAAAAAAAAACATAAAGACGATAGTGTTGTTTAAGTGTAAATTAGAAAACACATTAAGAATAATAACCGTTAATGCCTACCTCTTTGGACGACTGCGGGTTGGATAAAGGGACTGTTGCCTTCTTCCTCCAGGATTTTCAACTGTATATATTTTTATCATACATAATGACACATCAATTTATCCCAATAATATAAAATATTTCTGGAATAAAACATTTTCTCCCGTTTTTACTCGGGTAGGATTTTGTTCAACCGGCACGCTTGAGATAGGATACTATAAGGCCCGGATTTTTTTCGTGTCGTAACTACGTTGGATTGGTGTAGGTGAACGGCAGTGGTTTTGGCGTATTTCATCTAAATAATAATATAAATTAATGGAATTATGTAATAAAAAAACAATTCAAATTTGTTTCGTATTTAATCAAGCATGATGTGACAAAACGGGGTCATAGGTATAACTTATCATTGTGAATACCGTGTTAAATTTTCGAGCATTTTTGTCTTACTAAAACAATTTTATCCATATTGAACAAAAAACAACAACAAAAAAAAAAACCTCTTGAAAACTTCTAATGTCGACAAATAGCTATGAAATCGCCAACACATATTTGAAAACTGTGTCACTTCTATAAAATGCTTTTAGTATTTTGTGAGAATGTCAGGTCTCCACGGTTATTTACTACCGAATTATAACGAAAAAACGAAATCGAAAATAACAGAGACCGTTATCGAGGTGATTAGTGTTTAGCTCGTGTTCTTCTTATCACTAATAATATTGGATCGTTCGCGGTGATAAAAGAATCTCTGAAACGTACCTTCCCAACGTGCCTACCGGACAAAAAATTTGCCAATTTTGAAAATTACCCGCGAAGTCACCGATCGGAGATTTCTGGTACTTACAAAAAAAAAAAAAAATAATAATAATAAAAGTCGTACGTGAACGAAAAAGGAAAACAAAAAAAACTCTACGTTTTGATGCTGTATAATACCACGTAAACGCGATCCGCGGAACACCGACACTGCGAACGCTTCCGTTCGGCCGAAACGTATTCGTTTCGAAATTGCCGGGGACGGAATTATAATTGCGTGAATCGCGCGAAAAACGAAAAATAAAGTCGAGCGAAAGTACACTACGGGGGTCGAGGGTAGGTTAGGTATATTAATTTAACGGTAATAGAAAACGCGCGGACCGGACGGGAGAATTAATGAATTTCGTATCTCCGAATTTATGTGAGTACTAAACTATCGGTGGTATACCTGTGCGCTGCGTACGCTGTCGTGTAAATACGGACGCTGCCAAGTCGGTTTTCGGTTTGTATTCAGTCGGGCGTGTTTGCCGCGGCTAATGTCGTCAACCTCGCCCGAGCGCTTCCCGGCCGGATCGCTTCCTGGCGATTTGTAACGGGGAAATTTCGGTACGTCCGACAGACGGGGAAAAAAAAAAACAAAATTAAAAAATGAATTTAAATTATTTCACTATTTTACATGTGCATACATATATGTATTATATGTACACTATGTATTATAATTGTTTTACATTTTGTATAGGAATTCACAGAGCCGAACGCATACGCGGCGTATCCCGAGCACGTTGTACGTATGTACGTATTATAGTCAACTAGCACTTAGCTAATCGTTCTCGCCGGCAAATACTGGCGCGAGACGTTCGAAATTCTCGTTCCAATTATGTACCGAAACGCTGCTGTTAAGTTAATTGCAGCGCGGGGCACGTATATTTTCGTTTTCTTTCAGTAATACAATTGTCGGGTTAAATTTAATCTCCTATAAGAATATGTTATGAATGTATAATTGACGCCACGCGTGACGTATATAGTGATATTATGATGACGTTTATACAATACGAGCAAATATTATACTCGGTATACAATGTGTAACAAATGTGTTATAATAACGTATAATAATTTGAAGAAATTCGCCGTATATATTATGAGTGGTTTTTTTTTCAACTTACAAAAAAAAATAAATACATTTATTTATATACACGATATAAAATCTAATAAAATGAAAAGAAAAAAACAACAACAATTTCAAATGACTATGCATATAGTGTTCAAAACTCGCCACATCGTTTGGAAAATTGTACCAACAAATGCCAATATATAAGTATTCGGTGAATATTTTACGTCTCGACAGTCATTTTCGACCGAATTACAATCAAATAAACAAAATTAAAAATACTACGGAAACCGTTATCAGGAAAACTATAAAGAAAATCGAAAAACATAGATACCGACTAGAAAAAATTTGCTACGATAAGTTTTCTTGACGTTTTTCATTTTTTTTCATCTTGTCATTAGGTAAAGATTTATGAAAATTATTTAATGTCGACACGCAATAAAACATAAAAAAATACAAATCACAGTAAAACCATTATTACATTCCTCGTCTTCATCGCTAAGGGTCAGACCGAAATGTTCGAATCGCACATTTTACTTAAATTAAATGGTCGAACTGTACTTAGGTCAATGAAGGATTGAAACAGTCATTCTCTTTTCGTTTACACGTCTCAGACTGATAATGCTTTGAGAGCATTTTTTTGAGACAGCGCAATCCTATATTATATTATTATGTTACATTTTAAACGTGGTTTCTTAACATATGTTTACAAAAATAATAATGATAATAATAATAATTTGATAGTTCAAAAATGCTTTAAATTACCTATATATTCGTAAACTAAGAAAGTAACCACGTAAATGTAATTAAAATGCTGGTTGGTGGAAGAGAAATTAGTGTTTCCTAAAATTTTAAATTTTGTTTGATTTTTCGATATTTTTGTTGAAACGCCTTTCTGGAACCTAGTGCAGTTCCAACATAACGTTTGTTTAATCCAAATGTAGTTTGAACATAAACTTTTTTTTATTTTTTTTTTAAAATACAAGTGCAATATTTGACTTAAATAATTGGAATTGGACCTTATCCGTTCAGAGTTTAAACAAAACGTTCGCTCGTTGACTATGGCATTTTATATAATGTACACTGTTCACTAGCACAACTAGTAGACAATGCGCCATTTTCAACCTGAGAACTATTGTACTTATATTATGTCATATTTCTTGAAATATTCGTAAAAATAGGTATTACAATGTATTTAAAACTATAGTATCTGTATTTGCCACTAGAGTGTGTGGTTTTGCAGCATACGTGGTTTTCCGGTGTCTACGCCTGCACCGAATCGCTTTTTCATTATTTACCTATAACAGTTATCGTACCCTAACCTACCGTAGGTATCTTAAATATAACGGTAAACAAGAGTATGTTTAGCTCAAAGTTATTCAACGATAATAATAGTAATAAATTATGATAATTATTGGAGTCGACTCGGTGGAGGTTATGTTATTGTGCGCGTTTTAGAAAATTAAAATCCTCCGTTAACCGGCGGCTGAAAAACAAACGAAAATTTACAAGGAATGAGTTGCTGCTGCAGGAAACTGCCAAAAGTAAACATTTTACTACAGAGAATATTTAACATTTTTTTTTTCTATTATAAAAGCTTTTTATTAAAATATATATTCGTTTTTATAATATTAGACTTGTTGTATACGACGTGCGAATACTAAAAAAGGCGTAGTATATTAAAAAACAAAAAATACTTTATTATTATTATTATTATTATTATATATATATATATATGTTTTTATAAATACTCCGAACTATATACAACAAAATAATGTAGCTATTAAAAAAAAAAAGTGCCTATCTAAATTAATGAATTTTCTAATAAATACATTTTTTTTTTAACTTAAACCCTTGTAAAAAAAAAAAAAAAAACTATAAAACGTTTTTAGTTTTTTACCCGTTTTGAAATAACGACCGTTACTTGTAAAAATATCCAAACATATTCAATTATTTTTTATTCGCGTATAAATTATCTAAATTTGCCTAACTATGTATAGGATCTTTTAACAATATCGATGAATAAATTTATTTATTCAATTTATTTATTTAATAAAATATATTTTGATATTTCGAAAATTTCAAATATTTGTAATTATTGAAATATTTATAATTTATCTGTACAGACTGTTAAATTACGCTGAACTCTATATTTTGCTTATTAGCACAACTTTCGTTGAATGCCGTGTACAATTTTCAAACATGTCTGCTCGGTACACCTATTAGATAGAATTTGCTTTCGGAAAAGACGCTACAGTTGAAAATCAAGGAGAAAAAACAGATCATAGTTGGAAAATATTTGCTCGGTACCTTATTTTTGTGGAATGTTTTTTTTTGAAAAATAATATCGGAAATGTATTTTGATCGAACTGAATTTTGATGGAGCCATATTTATCGGAAACGCATTTTGTCGAAAAAATAATATTTTGATAATGATAAATGATAAAAATGATGTTACGATGTTATAAAAGTAAGTAATATTCTGTGGTCTATATTGTGTATACGGTACCGAATAAATATGATACCGAGCAAATATTTTCCCCACAAAATACGTTTCCGATAAAATACGGTTCGCTGGCCAAATATTTATCCGACAAAATATGTTTTCAATAATATACGTTTTAATTCACGTTCATGAAAAATACATTTCCGACTAATTATAATTTTACCAAAATACGGTTCCTAGTAAATATTTTTCAATTTATTACGCGCTTCCTATTCCTCGCTGTGCTCAAAATCTAAACCAGTGGTTCTGAACCGGGGCAGGGGAATTTCCTCTTCCTTATAAGGGATTCAGATACTACACGGGGGAATATAGTATCGATGAAATAACGAGAAATTTGTTGTTAAAATAATCATGCTAATTATGATTTATTATCAGTTAAATTGAAAACATTACATTAATTTTAGTTGTATAATGTATAATAAATAGTTATTTTGTAAAATTAATTTGTACGGCTCACTAAAAAATAATAAGGTCGCCTAATTGGTTGCATACGAACTGAGTCCCGATAAAACCTTTCAAGATGAATAGAGCAAGTTTTTTAGTGTACACTAATTGACTCCCTTGAAATTTTAGCTATAATACTAGTTAAGACCATTTTTCAATACTAAAATACTGAGTCCCATCAAACTTTTTTAAAAAAACGTCAAAATTACATTTTTATATCGGTAAAATGTATTATGATATGAATAATTTAAATGCTACTTGTGTATAATTGAATGAATATAAAATAAAATGATAGAATTATATTTAAAAAAAAAAAAAAAAAAAACTTTTATTTCTTTCACTTAACATAACTTCATCCATGGTGCTCGGTGTATTTTACAAACTAAAATTTATAATATAATGATATCGGTGAACAGTAATTATTATAAAACTAGCGGCTGTAGAAATAAAATCTAACGTTCCCGGCAATAACAGTAATAACATAATTTTTTTATTGGCTGCATACGAACTGAGATTATATTATCTGAAGAGTCTTAAAGATGATATATACGATGTCACGTAGTCGCCTCCATATTTGTATATTGTGGTTGATTTTATATTTTACTCAAAATAATCTTCGGACTCGATTAGTTATATTTTTGGTTTCCCCACCGGGGACTCAGTAAGTATATTTCTCGTTTATACCCGGGACTCAATTCGTACATTATTTTTTCTCCTTTCAAGTATTAACACTCAATTAATATGCAGCGGTGTAATCTAATTTTTTGGGAGGGAAAAAGGGGGGTGAGATTTTAAAGAAATGTGCAAAGGTGGCACAGAATAAAAAAAGGTTGGGAACCACTAATCTAAACCAAAAAAAGAGCTGATACTGAGACGGCTATGCCACTGTGTTAAATGGAGAGTCAGAACGATAGGATACACAAATGTTTTTAATGTATACCTGGAAGGAACGATAAACCATTACCAATAAAAAACGATTAGGAGCGAAACTCGATTGACCACTAATTATGACTTATAATGAACTTTCTGTCAAATTTTCAATCATTTCTGTTTAATCAAACAATTTTATCCACACATTACCTATATTACTACATACAAATTATGTAAAAATCTCGCAAAATTGAAATGTCTATAAATAGTTCAAAAGTGGCTTAAATATTTTGAAAATTTCATCAATTTTAAAAAAAGAAAGTTTCATTCAAAATATCAAATTTTTGCGAATATTTTTAACTGAAATACAACAAAAAACACGAAATTGAAAATATAGTATTATTTTCGTAAATTTTCTCATTCTTTTTCCTTTTTTTTCTTTAAGTTTTGCTTAATTATTTAAAATAAATACAAAGAAAATCGAAAGACGAATTAGTAAATAACCTGAAATATAAAAAATTCAATAATAAAGGTTTCTTTTCGTTTTTCTATTGAAGCAATATTTCTGGTGGAAAACATAGTTAGTAAAAATTAAAAACAACGAAATATGGCGTGCCGTAAATATTTGCTGTTTTACCTATAATTTTCTTTCAAAAAAAAAAAAAAAAAAAAAAAAAAAAAAAAAAAAAATAATCAATACACATCATAATAAAATGAATATTGAATTTTTAAGCCTGAATGTGACGGCCTACTAAAGTATCAAGTGTCGGTTAACATTTAAGCCAATAATTGTGGATAAAATTCGCAAGGGGAAACGCAGCCCGCCTCTCCGCCTACAAATGGCGACCCTATAGTGTATCGAGACACAGTGATTCGACACCATTAGAGGGTTTCCGACATCTGGGATATCAAAAATAGCACGGTTCTTATATTTTCTAAATATTATGCTTGTATTACCGCGAGTGTATACATGTATGCATATATGTGTGCAAGCACGAAGCACACGAATATATTATTTATGCACAATACACTATTATTAAATATATTGGGTATATCAAAGCTTTGAACCCTCGAGACGTCAAAAGTATACGCGTCGTGTCCTATGACATGGTACAAAATCGTGTGCGTTGTTGTTACTGAAGGTAATTCTAGAGCATGTATTTTTTAGGTACTCGTAATTTGGTTTGGTTTGGGTTTTTTTTTTATTTTTTATTTTTCGTTTTTAGACGCACTAGACACGCGTTGTTTTATTATTTTATGTTCAAAGTTAAAATTAGGTTTCACGAAAATTTCGCGTTTTTCGTTTTAACTATAATAATAATATCGCCGTCTACACAGTGTTGCCACAGCGATACCTCGTAAAGTTTGTTGCGTTAAAATAATAATATAAATTTGACGATCACTCCTAGGTGAATCCTCCACTCTTTGTCACTCGTCTCACCCCGCAGTTGGAATATATAAAACGGATTTTTTCGTTTAAAATTTTTTTTCTATAGAAAACATCGGAAAGTATATTATACAAAACCAGCTACCAAATGTTTGCATTTACCCTGCAAATAACAACAATACGCGTATAATGCCTATAATCGTAATAAAATCAATGCGGTATTTTTAAAAGGTTTCGGGTCTAAAACCATCACCACTGCGGTCGATCTGCGAGTAGAAAATAGAACAAAATCAATATAAAATGGGAGAGGGGAGGAAAAACCGTCGCCGTGCTTTAACTCCCGACCGCCTCAATAATATTTTATAGGTATTGCGACGTGATCGTACTGGCCGTAGTTAGGTGCATTATAATATTTTCGAAAATGTAAAAGTATAACGCAGAGTTGAAATAGTGTCGAAAAGACCGTGACCCGGTGTGAACGATACATAGTCAAGTGGGCGGGGAGAAGACACAGTTCCACTCGAATCCCGGAGAAAATAAAAAGAAAAAAAGAAAATAGATGTACTCTAGTGTAACTCGTATACAATCGTGTAAAAAAAAAAAAAAAAAAAAAAACGCTGTCGAAATTATTATATTTTTGGTTTCAGAGAAGAAGGGCTTACAATACAATGAATTTATTTTTAAAAACGAGTACATTTTTTATGCCGTTAAGATAAAAAAGTAAAAGAGAAATAATTATATAAGACAAAAGTGATAAATACATATATGTAAAATAACTACCAAAAATTGACCTAAGCTCTTGTCCTCGCAGAGACCGAAGATTTACATATAATGCTGTCAATTTTTAGCGAAAGTGATTGTTTTTTTTTTTTTTTATTAGCCTATTATATTACACAATAATAAATAAATATTGAATAATATTATTCGATAACATTGTAATGAATATGGATTTCGATATGCTTGCCAGTGTATGCAAGTAAACGCGCGTAGGTGTTAAATTATCATTTATACAAGCCAAAATCGAAGTATTTGCAACCTAATACGTACCTATACATTTCGGTATCTAAGTTTTTTTGTTATTTGTTTTAACAGCAATGTATTATATGCCTGTCCATATTGGCCTATACCTCCCCTAAGCGTTGGGTATGCTCTTGGATTATGCGTTACGGTAACTATAAGACGACAACTAATATAACGTACTATTATAACGATAAAAATATATAATAAACGCGATTAGTACAAATTGAATAACACGCGATTTAATTTGCCCGTCGTCGTCGTCGTCGTCATTGTACATTATTCATCCCCCGAGTCGTTGCGTATAGTAACAATATTAATCAGGTAATAACTATATCATTTTTTAAGCGATATTATTTTTATTATTATTATGGTTCGTGCGCAGACTTGTAAAAGATAATTCGTTTAAAAAATAATATGGACGTTGCGTTTAAAAAAACAAATTGATTTAAATTATTCGTGTATATTTGAGCGCGAATACACAGAAATATATGTATTTTCAGAAAAAAAAAATCAAAACCTAAGTATAGCAGGTACCTACAATGTGATGTCAAGTGTAATTATTTGTACAAACGTATTTAAAACATATTTTTATTTGCGAATAATTTACAAGTCTGTAATCGAGCGGTTTATTATTATTATTATAACCGCCTTCTGTGCGAGTTTTACGGTACCTATAAATCGAAATCACTACAGGTACTGGTTACCGGGGAGTGAACGCGCTGATCGATTCCGCGGCGGGCGCGAAGTACGCGACGGCGGGCCGCTTGGACCGGGTTCGCGGCATGTTGGACGGCGGCAGCGAGACGATGGCCGAATTGTTACGGCCCGTCGAACCGCTGGCCGTTTTGTGCCACGGCGACTTTTGCCGGAACAACCTGCTGTTCCGGTACGACCCGGCCACCGGGCAGCCGGCAGACGCCACGATGTTTGACCCCGCACAGGCCCGGTACGCGTCGCCCGCCGTCGACCTGTCGTTCTTCCTGTTCATGAACACCACGGACGCCGACCGGACGGCCCTGTGGGACGACTACGTGGCCGCCTATCTGGCCGGAGTCGCGGACGTTCAGCCGCCGGCCGGCGATGGCCGCCCGGCGCCGCTGACCGCCGCGGACGTAGACGCCGAGATGCGGGCGCACGGTCTGTACGGTTACGCGCAATGTTCGTTCTTCCTGCCCGCCATGGTGGACACCAGACCGCCGGACGTGGAGCGGCTCACCACTTGCACTGACGACGAGCGCATCGAGCTCATCAATGAGTCCGGCGGACCGGAAGCGGACAGGCTGCTCGCTTCCATCGTCAGACACATGGCTGACCGCCAGTACATTTAATACAACTGCGGTTTCGTTTTACATTAATATTCACAGTTGGATGTACTTGGATACGAATTAGTGTTTGAAATTCAACCATGTACCCTATAATTTTATTATTAGAACGATTTTCTCGGCGCCCTTCAGATTCGCCCTATATTATAATGTAAAAATTTGTGTTGTATTGTGCAAATGTTCGCCGTTATTGTTATATTGCGTTTATCGATTAAAAAAAAATTAGAAAAAAAAAAAAAACCGTGAAATTTAACGTTTAATGTATTTTGTGTGTTTTTGTCGATGGATAGTAACTATTGCATAACATTGTGTCTATTTTATATGCACTCTGTTATAAATATATATATATATATATGGTATATACAATAATATACTATAATTGAATGAAACAAAAAAAATTAAATGAGCACTTTTCCTTATCCATGACAACCAAATCAACTTATAATAATGTTTTTTTCGTCCGTGTTGCCAAGGTTACTAATAAATAAACAACAATGAAAGAAAAAAAATAGTGTTAATGTGCCACTGTTTTAAGAGAGGATATAGAGATGATATATCTAAAGTAATTTAATTTATATCGGTTTGGAACGTAAACCATTGCTAACGAAAAACGATTCTGAACAGAGTATTATTGTTAGTTACCAAGGTAATCTAAAAATTAATAAAAACTTCAGAGATAAAATATATTTCAAGAAAGTTCCCCTACAGTTTTTGATTGGAACAAGGTTTCTGGAAAAAGTTTGTTTTAAAAAAAAAAAAAAAAAAACACGTCATTTTTTAATCAAATTTGAACATTTTTCGTTTCACTAAGAATCTAATATTACACTTTTATTCCAAAAATATGGAAAATTCTGTTTCAGCCATCCTTTTGGGGTTGTATTATGGAAATTCAGTGGCCGTTAATTCGCATATTCGAATTACACAGACAGATATCCACATTTAAAAATAAAGTCATAGAGATATAACTTCTGTTTTTTTCCCCGGTAGTTTTGGACTCTTTTAGCTCAGTTTATTCTCACTAATGAGGGCCTAATATAAAGTGTTTTGAAGCCCGAGTTGTACAGTATAAAATGTAAAGTGTGTATGAAAGGACGCTAAAAATGTAAATACGTCTTTGCTAAAAGTTAGGTTTGAGAAGATACGTGGGTATTTCGAAGAAATATAGTGACTGATAGCGAGATGTTAGGAGTGAAAGTGGCCGACCTTACTCGGGTTGGCGATAAAAAGCGATGTGAACGAAAATGAGACCGAGTTCGAAATCCAAATATAAAAATCCTCAATGCAATTCGAATACGACGGAGATTCCGGGGTTAGGAATTATAAGGAAATAAGAAAAAAAATAAATTGGAATAAGTATATTGTATATTCGAGTACAGTTCGAATTTATTCATTTCAAACACTGTATATTCGTTATAATATGCTAAACATATTTTAACGTATATTTTTTTCAGGCCATTGAAAAAAAAAAACTAATACATGCAGTAATAAATTATATTTTTTTTACAATAATTTTCAGATTAAATATTATATACATCAATTATATAATATAATATTAATTATATGAATGATTCATGTTATATTATACGAATCATTCAACTATATTTTAAACGTTTAAGGTTTTAAATGACATTAAATATGTAATCAAAGCGCACTCGGATCAATGGAATTTCGCAATCTGTTTAACTCAATAAATAATTGTTTATATAGAATGGAGTATATTATATATTTTAGTAAATTTTTTTCTCCATAAATAACGAAAATAAAAAATGTTCTTTTGCTTTAAAATTATTAAAAAAAAAAAAAAAACAATTATGTAACTTGATTAAAAATTGAAAAGTATTTTATGAATTCGTCTCGGTGTGTTTACTGCAGTAGGTGAACTAAAAAAACCTTAATATAGCGAAATACGATAGATTTGTGCTTTTCTATACTATTCACTTAGAAATTATAGCAATAAAACTACACAAAAGTCCCGTATTACCCTTTGTATCTCCACGGAAATCATAATATTTAAATGTGATTTTTTTTTTCTGTGAATTTTCTACTAAAGCTCGGATTTTAGAGTGTAGCACCTTTTCTGAAAGGAAATCGGACTGGGCAGGTACTTAAGGGGTCAGAAGGTCATTTTTCTATTTCCCCAAGATTTTCCCAGTAAAAACGAAAAACCGGAAAAAAAAAGTGTAGCTTAATGTAATAGTTTTAGATTCTTTGAGTAGAGCGAATAAGCTTATGGTTTTACGAAGTTGTTAATTTTTCTTTCTGTGAACAACTATTCTATCAGAAATTTTATTCTGATTTATAATAAAAGAACTTTTTCGGAAAGGAAATTTGATTGGGGAAGCATTTAGAAGTGGTCATTTTTTGATTTTCTCAAGAGTTTTTTCAATATATTCGAAAAACAGGGAAAAATGGGAGAACGGGAAAATAGGTACAACATTAAACAAATATTATTAAAGAAAATATTTATTGCATATGCAATTATTTTACCATAATATGACATATAGTATATTGTTGACCAAGTAACACTATCAATTGAACTCTGCTCAGAATCGTTTTTTTCGTTAGCAATGGTTTATCGTCGCGTACAGATATACATTAAATGTCCCCTTTATCTTCCAAACTTTTTGCCTACAATAGTGGCCCACCCACAAGCGAAGTTTGTTCTTTTTTTTTTATACTGCCTTAAAAAATTGGTCAAATAATTGCTGTCTTAGAATTTGAAACATGAAATGTAGAAACAAATATTTCAAATAATATTTTTAAAATTTTAAAATTGCTGTAAAAAAATAGGTTTGAAATGATACCCCAGCACTTATTTTCAATTAGAATTGTCTTATTTAAAACACTGGAGAAAAAAAACCACATTTAAATTTTGAATGCATTGATTTGCTATGGAAATATTATAAGGATATGAGATTTTTGCGAATTGTTGTAAAATAGTATTATAGAGTTAATTAAATTTTCTATCTTTACTATACACACCTTTTCACCCGATGAAATGTATGTCAGCATAATAATGTAGGTAAGTAAACTCAAAACCTTAATAATTTAAACGAGTACTGCTCATTTTACGAGTGTTATATTTATTATTTTATCGAATAAATTTTCGTTCTGAAATAAATCTGCAGATTTTTTATGATTATTGATTTTCGACCTTTATATTATATAATTTTTTCTGACGGTTTTGATTTGTAAACCAAACTAGAAATATACAACGAGCTACAACTTACCAACACACATTTAGTTGACTGTACACTGTAAAATATACTGCAATGGATATTATTCTCTGATTAACTAAATAAGGTTAAATGACGTTAGTATCAGACAGAGGCGGGGGAATAGAATTGTTGATTTATTGATCCTTATAATGTTCGTACCATTATCTGTAAACGAGAAAATTGCGAACATTTTACAGTACGTTCATCTCAACCGAAGTTCTTAGGGCGTACAGTGGGAGGAAATCGAAAAAAAATAAAATTATTATTGTCAAAATGTTGATAATAATCCAATAAATTTGTTTTATAAATGTAAATGTATTAATAATTAATAATACCTGCTTATCTTATATTTTATCGTAATTGCATTTATATAAATATTATTAGAGCCCAAACCGTGTGATATCAAAAAAATAATCATTCCATACGTGGATTTTCTTAACAGTACACACGTTCACAATGAATATTTGTTATTCGTATTGTGGAACATTATGTTTTTTAATTTTCTGCATTTATTTATTTTGTATGATGGAAATTACTGGAAGTGATATGTATTGGTTATGAGTATTATAATTTATCAGTTAATTAACAAAACATTTTTAAAACTTTATTAACCGAATAATGAAAACAAATTAGTATTTAACATTTAAAATGGTCAGCTAATAATCAGTTTTTAATTGTTTCGTATATTGGATAATTATCACAATAGTACATTGTGCATTTACACATTTAGAAGAAAAAAATATGTTTATCATTAAAATATTATCAAATTTATTTTCGTCATAGTAAAAATCTATTGTCTCCCATTGGAGTATAGATAGTGCTGATTTGAAGTAGTTTCAAAAAAAAAATAAATAAATATGCTTCAAGATAATACTTGATCCGACTAATATATTCTAAGAATTTGATATGAAGAGAAAAATACACGATTGAATACGATAAAAATTTCGTTCGATACATTCTTCTTTTGTTATTCACTAGGGAATTTAAAAAATAATTATCTAAATTTGACATCGGCCACATTCCCCGAACTATAAAAAAAGGATTTAATGTACAATAAGCACGTCTTGTATAATGCATTTACAATATGTGCATTCAAAATTTGAACTCATTCCATAATTACACTGTATATTTTATTTATTACTGCATTTCATGGTACCAATTTTATTTATTCATTCTCATTTTACTTGTACTTTAAGTCATATGATATATTATTATTATTGTTTATTTATTAGAAAAGATGAGAAAAGAAGGTTCGTGTGGGACCCATGAGTTCGCAATTTATAATAAGGAAAATAATACATTCGAATAATAATTTAAATTAAACTTTCTTTTTACAATTTTAGACTTATAAAACTAACTTAAACATTTACAATACTTAATGTATGGAGACTTAATGTATAATATAGTTTTATAAAATACAAATGCAAGCAACTAGATTAAAAATATACAAATATTTAAAGTTTTAAATTTGGTTAATTTTGCAGCCAATTATTTGTTTTGTTTTTAAGTATTAAACGATAGAATTGTTTTGAAATGTTATGGTAGCATATTATACATTTTTGTTCATATATATATATATTTATAAATAAGTAGATTGAGTTAGTTTTGTGTGCATTATGGGAATAGTAATGTTTGATTTATATTGTAATGTGTTATATCCATGATCAATACTAGGTGTTAGGTTATTTTTAATTATATAAATTACTTATGCCTTAATGAACAATTATTTAATGGTAGAAAATTTAATTCATTGAACAGATATTCTGTGTGATACAAATGATTCTTTTTAAAAATAATTTGTATTATTCTAATTTTTTTTTTTTTTAAATGGATTTAGTGTTGTATTATAGACACCTTCCCAAAGTGAGTTAAGAAATTATTTATTCGAACTCTGTGTCTCCTATTTTTTAATTTAAGTTAATAAGTCGTAGGCTGGTTTTGGATAAAAAATTTACTCAAAATATTTCATAATATTAAATGGTCTATAGTGTCGTATGCTTTAGCTAAATCTAGGGAGACAGTTGCGCATTTTTTTTTTACTTTCATATGGTATATTTTTGTAAAATATATTTATACTTATTATAAGTTGAGGATTTCATTTATATTGTAAAATTGTACCAATTGTACGTCAATTTGAAAAGTACTGGTATCTCCCAATAAATCACCTTGTATCTCACAAACGTATTTGGTCGATTTTCACTACTTTGAAAAGAAAAAATTATTAATAATTTTTATTCTGCTGAAAACCTAGGGTTTTTGTTTTTTGCAATCTACTTAATATGCGGAACGCTATTGGCTGCAAGAGTGTCTGCTGCAGCACAGGGATAACAACAGCTATCTCCTCTCCATAAGAAAACGCATGTACCTATACCCACTAACCTATCGTTTAATCGTTATTCGTATATTATCTTATATCGCCACGCCGCCGGTATAAAATTTATATCTGCTAGAATATCACAAGAAAAATGCATTTCTTGGTGATCGTAAATGTGTGTCTGTTTATCCAATCGCCCCCTCCGAACCGTTTCCCGCTTTATTTTTATTTAAAACGAGATTTTGCCATGATTGTTTTAAAAGGTCTACTACTACGTGATAGGAACCGATAATTTTCCACACTAGCACAAAAATGTGTTCACGTAAAACAGTTGGAAAATCGCCTCTTGCCGAAGCGTTTCGAATTCCGCCAGTTTAAATCGTGAAATCAATAGAAAACGAATACATTTTTTTTTTTTAGTATTTTAACTATCAAATATAGTATAATGTATAATTTATACTTATATGTATATATACTATGTATATTATATTTCATAATTTAAATATTATAAAAAATAAAATGCATAGTCAATTAAACAAAATGCAGAGAGAAATTTTTATGGTGTGCGATTATAAAAGCTATAGGAGATTTAGATTCCCCTTCACAATATCCTTCACATCAAACAATTCTACGATCGACATATCTTCCTTTAAAATATCTTCTCTAGAAATAACCAAAAATATTCCCTTTCAAAAATGGTGCCGTGCGTATATATCGGGGCAAGATTTCTGGTAGAATTTTTGTACACAGTATAAAAAAAATAAAAAAAAATGTATAAATATCTTTGTAAAACCATTACATTTTTCGCTAAACTCAGAATCTAAAACAAAATAACTGGTTTAGGCTTATTATCGATAAGCATAAATAAATACAGTGTGATCAATGTTTAGGGCAACAACTAGACATGTTTTTTTAGATGCCTTGTTATTATAAAAAAAAATAAAAAAATATCTCTGTATATTATGACCCGATTTGTTTCATTGCTAACCCAAACAACGGGTTTTTTTTCTTATAGGAAAAACACAAAAAGTAATTTTAAAAAAAATAATAATAAAAAATAGAGATGTCAGCTTATTGCACTCATTCCTTCATTTGCAACAAAAGTTTTAGAGTGAAAATATATTTTTAATTTTAAGAAATAGAATATTTAAAAAAAACCGGAGGCGATAGGATAAATAAATCTTTTTTTGATTTTTTCGTGATATCTAAACCAACTATAATATGAACTATTCAGCAGCAGGCAATTATTATCTCATATGTATTACCTTAGTAAGTAGAAAGCGTCCAAAGATACTGATCTGCATTTGTATTATTTTAATTGAATACAAATGATCGCATTCATTTTTTTATAAATCGATATTTCACTATTATCATTTTTTTTTTTTTTTTTATGTGGAATTGTGAAAGGTAATATTATAATATATAAACGATGACCTACGTTATATGTATTGACATTATAGAATTCACAGAACAATACAAAAACTATCGTTAAAGCACAAAGATCATATTTCATTCTAAAATACTTAGGTACGTACTAAAATATGTGACTGGTGAAAACAACAAATTCGTAGAAGAAATGCTCAGATTATTTCTTTGAATCTAAGATCTGTAAGTTACCGTGAATCGTAATGCTCAATTTATCGGCATATACTTATATCGTAGATATAACAATTCAAATAGGCAGATAAAATCCCAAACTACTTTTGAATGGGTAAAAGTAGGCAGTATTACTATTACTATGAAGATTAAAAATTAATTTTGTAACCATAAGTGCTACAACAGTATAATTTTATGTATTCGGAATAACATAAATAATAATTTATATGTGTCTAATAAATTTGATGTGGTGATTGATGTTTTTTAAATGTAAAATTTAAATTTAAAATATGATATTCTGAGAGCACCGAGGATTTACATCCCAAAGAGTCGACTAATAATAATTGTACGGCGTTCGTGAAAGAGTCCAAATGAACTTTTTAAGAGACAAAAAAAAAATGAATAATGTACTAATTTACTATATATATTAATGTATACTCATATATATATATATATATATACATATTGCGCCAACGGATTTTCCTATATTGTCCTATATGCCTAAACTACATGGCAATTATACGAAAAAAAAAAAATTAAAAACGGTATTTTCAAATTTCAGTGGAACCAATATTGTTCCGTTGTACAATTTTCCATACAATTAATACAAAAATGTCACTTATATTATTTTTCCCACGAACGCCGTTCAATTATTAGTGGAATCTATATTATGTTATTACAGTTTTAATATTTGGATAATATAGTACATGGAACATGCTCGTAAAATTGACTGACGATCACAATACTATTTTAATCCTCAGAGTCGGAGGCTCCGACAACAAAACAATTCGTTCCAAAAACAAAACGAGTGGGGTACCTATACATTCTTACCTTATTACTTTATACTCGCATTATACCGTTTTAGGATTTGAAAACGTATTGTAAAAGCGAATTGTTTAATCGACGAAGCTTATATTCTATTATATCATGTTGTAACAGTCGGGAACACGATCTGTTGACTAAGAAGAATTCAGTCTTTATATTGTATATAATACTATTCGTAATCAAAAGAATATACGGCAGGCAATAATATTTAATTAAATGATGGAATAGAACTGGCGAACCGAATCCGGAGTTTTAGAATTAATTATATTTTTAGCGTTTTATCTCGCGAATATAATAAGAAAACTCTTATTAAGATAAACTCTCAAAGATACTTTATGCAGAGAAAATCGAGTGCCTAAACTATTTTGAATTTTTTTTTTTTTTCAGATTAATAATAAAAAAATATATACATAAAATTAAACTCTTATGATATTGTTCATATTATATTATTTTACGTTATATAATATATACAAATTTAATTTTAATTTTTTTTATCTAAGTTGCCTAAGTTAAAAGTTAATTAAAATTGCACAGACAACGCCGGACAGGACATCTATTATAACTATACTTATATTATTATCGTAAAACGTTTTCAATTTCAGTAAAACACATTTAAGCTAAAATCGAAACATTTTATTATACGATGATGTTCTCGTTATCACTCCAAAACCGATTTGATTTAATTTTTCTTAAACATATAATTAATTCGATTTTAGTTCAAATGTTTTTTTTCTATAAATACAAATTGGCGAGAGGAATGTCTGATTTGTGATAAAAAAAAAAAAAAACAAAAGATCACTATGAACTAAACAATAAAACACATACATATAATATAGTTTTTATATTCTAAACTTTTCTTTAATATCAGATGCACACTTAATGCTCTAATATTTTTCAAAAGTTACGATAATATTTTATTCAAAAGGCCAACGACCAACTTTTCTAGACGGTTAACAACTACGTAAATAATGGGTCATTCTCGACCGCATCACAATACAAGATAAAAAAATATTACACGAATATTTAATCATACTTATAGTGTTTTAACCGCTCGATCTTGCACTATGAGTATATGTTGTGTAGAATATGACGTAAACTCTTATGCGGTATAATAAATTGTATATAAATTATATAAAATTTATATAAATTTTTATTATTATATTATTCATATAACAATGCATAATTTATTTTTATAATATTTCTTATTCCTAGTCGCTATAATGCGATGTCCAACATCTTAATTAACGATATCTTTATGAAAATCTTCATGAAATCTTTGATGTCTGAACCATTTAATGGAGGAGCTTACAAAATAATGAACATCAAATTCAGTTCCAAAGCTGTTTATAAAGATCATTAAAAAAAGAGTGATATAGGTGGGTCATGATTGACGTAAACAGCTGTTTTTATCTTTAAAGAGATTAGATACCGATATTTTTTTTCTTTGTACAAAATATACGCAATATAGCAATTCAGACTATTTTTTTAATCAGTTTGATCGATACATAAATTGAAGCGATAAGTATTTTGAAAAAAAAAAAATTAAAATTCAATGTAAAGTGCATAAGAGTCTGGCCATCCAATTTTTTTCGAATTTCAGTCTTTAATTTTCAATCATTTGTATAAAAAAAATACTAAAATCAAATTGATAAAAGTTCCTCGCCGATTCCATGTACAGATAAGCTCATGTTGAATTCAAATCGGGTTTCAAAAATCTTCTCAAAAAACGTTGTGGTAAAACCTCGTTAGTCGTTTAACCGATTCGGTTTTATCAAATTGGATAGGAGAAATGAAAAATTATGAGTTTTAAGAATTTCAAATTTGTTTTTTACTTTCTAATTTTTTGTGTATATTATCTATTTGATTTCGTTAGAAAACAAATTTATTTCGATATTTTGATATAAATATTTGGTTTACAAGTTTTTGAATTTTAGAGTATTTAACAAAAAAGGTTATAAATTTAAGTTCTTTAATATATGTAGGTTGAGTGGTGAAATGTAAATTTCTAATAACAATTCGATAAGATTTATTTTCTTTTGTTGGTACATAAATAGTTTGACTTTTAATTCTTTTAGACATTTAAGCCCTGTAAGCATTTGGCGAGAACGTATTTAATTTTAGCGATTCGGTAGACATTTTACAATCGAAATTGTCGGTTGGGTCTATTTTATTTTTTATTTTTTTGCAAAAACCTTGACAATTTTTAATTTTGGTTTTAATAAATATTGGCGGTGGGAATTTAGTAGCAGTTCCATTTATATTCTTCGATTATTATTTTAGTATCATCGTTTTGTGATAAAACGGCAAATTTTTTATGAGTAGAAAGTTGCGTGATGGTTGTAGTTTTAATAATTTTAGGTAAATGACCTTGACCATTTAAATTTAAACATTTATGAGATATAGGTGAAACGACCTCAGTCTAATCCGTATCGGATTCAATTGACTGGCTACCTATTGATTTTGTTTTATTTAGCACGATTCTTTTGATTGATAATTTTAACTAGGAAGATAGCTTTGTGTTTTTGAAGTCTTTATTGATTAGACATAAGTGATACATAAATAAACTGACTTGCGGATAGGAAGAAATAATCTGAACGTATGAATTTAAATAATACTGCAATACTTTAGGAATTACAAAAAAATAATTTTCTATGGGTGTTCGGCTCCGGATGAGCTGTGATTTTTGGTAAATTTGTGAATATTTGTTTTGTTTTTCTAGTATTTTTCACAACAAAGTGAGGTTTTCAAAATAGATTTTTAATTAAATGAAAATCAACAATGGAAGTAAATGTACACATTACGAACGATCGACACCGACTTACAATGTTATAATTGTTTTATTAATACGTACTTCTTCTTCTTCTTTCTTAGTTTCGGCTTTTAAGACCATACTATTAAATACAAACTTTGCCACCTCCGTTGCTTCTCTCCATCTGATATTAGGTTCTATCTTTTTAACGTCTTTCTTCATACAATCCTTTTATCATAGTTTAGGTTTACCAAACGGTCTTTTCCCCATAGAGTCTTCTTCAATACTCTCCTTAATTAACGCTCCTTGTTTGCGCCATGCATGACCGACTCACCTTAGTCTTCGTTTGGTAATCTCTCTAAATATTTTCGGCTTCTGAAAGAGTATTTGGAGTTCATTATCATGTATTTTTCTTCATTCATTGGTTTTACTATTGAAGATTAATTTGGGCTGTAAATTTTCCGTAAAACTTTTCTTTCAAAGATCATTAGTCTCGATTCATCGGTTTTTTTCAGTTCCCACGTTTCCGAGCCATATAGGACAATTGGTCATGTAAATCTTAATTTTGAAGTTTCTGGATAAGGCCTTCGATTTCAGGAATTTTTCTAACCCATAATATCTTTTCTTAGCTTGTTGTATCCTTGATAACACCTTTGTATTAACATCGTTATCCCCGGTTAAAATTTATTCCAGATATTTAAGTTGTGACACTCTTTTCAAACTGTGTTCTCCTATTTCAATGTATTGTTTTTGTCCACAATTTCTATTTCTTCGGCTAGCCACTAGGTACTCTTCTTTTTCATCATTAACGGTTAGGCCCATTTTATCTGCCATATTAATTTGTTTATTTCCTAATCGTTTTATCATATCTAAATCTTCTTCAAGAAGGGGAATATCATCTGTATATGCTAACTTTTCTATACATTGACTGGCCGTCGCCGTTTTCATAATCTTATTTTTTTTAATAAGCTCTTATCTGGCTCTGTTGATTCTCCTTCCCTTCTTACTTTAATTAATTTTAAAGTTCCTGTTAGGTACACCCACAACTTAAATACCTTTTCTGTTCCATTTTGCCCAACTAATTATTTAAAAGCCAGTTAATTAACCGTATGATAAATTTAGCCTATGAGGATCCGTCATTTCTTCCATAAAATTATGTTACTATAATATCTTATTTTTTTTTTTTTTGTTTATGTTTATTTTTGTGATATCTTTTATACTTGTGCCTCTATTCCACATTTATAATATGCATCGTATTTTGTCAATTCAACACCATAATTTTAACCTGTGTTCACGCTTGTTTATCTTTAATAAATAAATAAATAATTTGTAATCTGACCTAAAGTGACTTGTTCTAAAATGTTCATATCGCGTAGTACTAATACGTACGGTTTGATCAAAAATCTCCTAAGTCAGGATTATTTATTTTGTATATAATATGAAAATACCGTCAAAATTGTATAAGAGTTTACATGAAACTGCATAGAAACTGCATAAAAAAAAAAAACCATTTTGTTTCAATTAACACGGTAAGTCGGTAACTGGTCACATGCGTCTATAAATCAATTTTTAAACTAAACAAACTTAATATTTAACAACTTAAGATTTGATATTATACCTACGCAGGTACCTATGTCGTAATAATAATATATAACGACCGATGATGTGACACATTTATATGCACGTGTCATAAAAATAAATGAAATGAAATACTGCAAACGTGAATATCAAAATATTATGAGATACAAAAGGTGATTCTATTTTATCGTACCATGTGACCTTTTCCAGCGTATAATATAAATTTTTAACGCAATATCTTCTTCTAATTCTGCATGCTGTAATGTATTTTTTATATGTAATATATGTAATGTAAATATATATGTGAGGGTAGATATTGCATTTATAATATTTTAAGAGCAGAGTACTCATCGTAGTTTTGAGTTTGTAATAGACGGCTATTAAAGTTCTGTTGTGTGTAATAATATATCGAATATTTATATATATATTATAGGTACGTATCCTGTAAATCTAAAATTTAAACGTTTGTAAATAATGTGAACCATAGGCTCAGATTGCGACATCTATATGATTATATATTAATACGTGAAAAAAAAAAATGGGCGCAAAATCGAAATATGAAATTGAAAATACGTGACGAAAAACCAAAATTGACGCCGACAGTAGTAAAGTGCGATAAAATACTTCGTGTATAAACCTACGCGAACTAATAAGACTTTCCTCATTTTTATACCGATATATTTATAAATTATACGACGAAGTTATTCATAAAAATTAATTGTAAATTAAAACAGAAAATTATTATTTTAGACTATGAGTGTTTTACGAAGAAAGTAATAGTTTTACAAAGAATAATTTATTTTTATTTTTCGGAAAACACTTTCACGGTTAGTAAAAATGAAGCTATACGTACATCACACTGCTGATAACTTTTAACTGCACGGATTATTGAATCGAAGACAGTGCGCTACACTTCCGTTTGGGTCGGTGTTAATTAAAATTTTCCTTTTTGACATATTATAGCACTTAAAACTGTTACCCCATTATTTCCGGTACATTTGTACTTCATTAACTCTTACGTACGTAATAATGCACTTATATTGTCTATATCTGAGCTAAACTGATTGATGGTTTTCAACTTTATCGTTTAAAATGTGTAAATTGTAGAATACTTTTGTGTTCCCGGGAAAAAGAGCTTAAGTCCATTTTTTTAATTTTGTCTTATTTAATTTGTTTCCCTTTTATTTTTTGTTTTAAACTACACAAAGTGTAAGTTTATACTAAGACATACCATGTTAAAAATTAAAATATCTCATGCCACATAATGTAATGTACACCAAGGGACCCGACCGGATCAATCGTTCGTTACACTCGTTTTGAATGTTTTTAACGAAAATATTCCTCGGTTTGTTACATACGATTATAGTAATATGAACACTTTATCCACAGCACATCAGCTATTGTAAATGATAAATTGATATGTATAAATTGATTTGTTCCTGTTAATTTCAAACTATTAGGTAGTTATATACACCTATTAGTGTTCGATTGGGTTACGATTGGCCCCTAAGAAAATATTTTCAATTTGTCTCCCTGCTACAGTACAACAAAATATAGAACTCAGATTCAAAACTAAACAAAAATTTGTTTAAATTAAATATCATGATTATGTATTGTTCCGAGTTAAATAACAAAACAATGTTAATTATTAGGTAAAATGTTATTTGTTTCAACTTTATTAACTATATAAAATAATTTACAAAAAGTATATGACATAGACTTTTTATAATAATAATTACATAAAATGATTATAGTAATATGTATAATATGATGCTAATTGATCAATTATTTCATCTTTTTTATACATTTGATTAAATCGTCTTCTATATGTCAGGATATTAATGGTTCAAGATATTCTTGAATAACAGACGACCCGCATTTTGTTTTAAACATTTTGAGTTTTGGAAACGCATGTTCTCAGAAAACTTTTGTACACAGAAGAATTATTACATATTTCATAACTAAACAAATCTGATTTAAAGTTATTTCATACAATATCTGAAAGAATTTAGGTAAGCAGTCATCATATTTTGGTTTTTCTATAACAGGTACATCATCTTCTGTAGCTATTATTTCTTCTAAATTATCTATGTATTTACGATAGTACGATACACATATCTAAACTAGAGTACTGTTCTGCAAACTGTTTCAATTCAACAAGTAATTTTTTCTGATCTACTGTAACCAAGATTTATAGTTTATGTTAATAAGTTAGATAGAAATTCTTCTAATGAAAGTGAAGCTATTTCTATATATTTTGAAGGATCTAATCAAGCAATTTCCATTAACTACTGTTTATTTGGCACAAACCTTTCACTGATTTTGACTGTTAAAATCTGGAAATATATGGCTCTGATTTTTTTTAAAAGAATTAATGTTCTTATTAGGTATAAAATTAGATAATTCTTCAAATTCTCTTTTTTGTATTATATTAAACTCCACTAATATATTAGCCAACCTAACCAACATAACTTAACCAACAATGGTTGGTCCATATAAAAAAAATAATGTATATTTTTTCAAATATTTTTATTCAACAGACTTAAAATCACGAAAACATTAAAAATAATCCGAACGCAATCAAATTGCAACCCAATTTCCAAATTAATTATTCATTATTCAATTTGTTATCCGTTATTCATTATAACAACAAAATAAATGATTCATAAAATATTTTAAACTTATTTTATAGACGAATGCACAAACAATGTTTTAAATATAAATGATCAGTTTTAGGGGCGATTCCCATGATGCGTCAGACAGAGAGGTAGTTGACGTATTTAATAATTTAGAATTTAGAATTAAAGTTCACGATAAGTGAACGTGACTTATTGTTATACCTGCTTCTTGAAGAGGTTGAATAAGAAGAAGTTCTTATAGATTATAGAAAAATTATTAGTAGATCAGGGGAATGCAAACGAGAAACTCCGAGAGTTTTTCAGAATGAATATTGACCAGTTTAATTATGTACTGAACTTGATTGAAAAATTGACGAACATGTGAGCGGCTGCATCTATACTGTTAGCCAACCAGACGGTTCATGCGGCTCTAGTGGTTACTGACAGCCACAAAGTTATTAACGCATTAAGGGAAACTTACCCACTGTATAACATGCTAGCAATATAATTCATCAGATACGTTGCGTTAGCCGTACGCTAATATACATAGGAATTGCACCTTAATGATTGCTAAATTTATGGATCTATGGCAAAAATATGAATCGTTCTAGATTAAACCATCAAGATCGGTGGTTTAACTAAACTTGCTTTTAAACTAAGTTTAAGTGTTAAACTAATCTTGTAAATTATATGTTTTGGTCTTAAACAGAGTTTAAGAAAAATCTAGTTTAAACTTAGTTTAAACCTGTCTGACACAACTGGCCCAAAGATTGAGATTTAATAGTATACGAATTTGTTATCGTTATTGTAATCTAATAGCCATAGTCCAGGCAAACATTAATTATCGATACGGGTGATTAAATTCGAACCTATTACGACAGAATAGTTTATATATATATATATATATATATATATTATATTAAGTGTTTATCATTATAAAAATGTGTGTGACCCACGACAACTTCTACTCAATTAATTTCATACAGTCTTTCCAAAAGGTTGGACATCCCTGCATTACACTTTTCATATGGATAAGGTTTACATTACCTGGGAAATATTGTACATTGTACACTAACCGTTTTTGTAGGTTACTTGTAACATACACATAGAATTTAATATTAATATAATAATTCGTTCATCGTTAAATAGATTATTAATCTATATAAATTCTGAGTTTACCGAAGAAAAGCTATTAAATTAGTTAAAGATTGGTTGTTTTTTTTTGGGGGGGGGGAATTAATTTTAGTAAAAATACACAGATTTATATACATATATAAATAATACATTAATATACAAATTTTTAAAATGTTATACTCAAAATCATCTTAAAAAAAGATGCACATATATTTCGCACGTGGATGCAGTCACTGTTGTCGGTAGGAATTCAAATATGGTATATCTATAAGCAACGATAAACCATTGGTAACGAAATTCTGAAAAGAGTTCAGTTGATAGCGATACTTTGTTAACAATGTATATGCCATATTATGGTAAATAGACATTATGTATTTTCTTTAATAATATCTGTTTAATATTGTACCGATTTTCCTGGTTTTTCATATTTGCTGGGACAATTCGTGGGAAAATCGAAAAATGAGATCCCTAAAGTACCTTCCTAGGTTTTTCTCTTTGTAGTACGAAAATCTAGTAATTTTTTTGGATTTATGTATTATTTTAATGATGCTGATGAAGTATAAAAAAAAAGCTAAAACAAAAAAAAAAATAAACAATACGATAATCCGTGGCAGGGAAATAATAGTAGGTAGTTGTCGCGAGAATATGCAAACTAAACAGTTGATTATTGGTTAGTAATTGCTAGTAATTAAATCCAGACTTTATTTAAATATACTGTAACAAGTACTTACCTAAACAGGGAAACACGTTATTTTTTCAATACACATATATGTTCATAAAATATTGACACGAATTAAGCCATGCGGGACTGCTAGTTAAAAAAAAAAAAAACAAAACATATTGTTATAAAAACTGTAAGAATATCTATATATGTTATAGAATTTTGTTGCTCACGCTAAAGCGCCAATGTATATTTTACTTTTAATACGCGATCGGTGGCGTATAGGTATATAGTATCGATTTCATTAATGTACTGCGTAGCGCGTTTTTACCCCATAAGTATATTTGACTGCTTTAATGAGCTGTAAAAACCTTTTTAAAAGGTACTATTCGTGGTTTGTATGTATAACGCGTAGCTGCACCGAGGGAATATTTTTGAATGGTGGTGGTGGTACGTATATAGTAGCTCGAATTGTCTTTTGTTTCGATTTAATTTCATTTAAACGCATCATAAACTTTAAAAACGGATTTAGACGTTTTCGGCCCCTTTGTTTATACAAAAACTTATACATCCATCTCTCGTGAGTCTTAACAGTTTTAAAACAACCCGAGTGAATATTGTCGTCGTCGTCATTGAAAGCAGCAGAACTTTTGATTCAGAGGTTAAGAGTCGATAATA